TGCTCTGGTGACAATCTGTTAAAAAATAAAAAAAACATTGTATAGACTTTTTTTTACATACTGTCACCAGAGCAAGTGCAGTGTCACTTTGGTGGCATTGTTGCGCTGTGCCAATGATAATGTACAATGGGTGGCTGTTCTGATATCACTGTCTGTGCTGCCAGCAATTATCTCTGTTCACCACCACAGCAGTATAGTGTCACCAGACTAGTGCGGTCAGTGTCCCTAAGCACTGTCGTACCAGTCAGTGCTCCTAATCACTGCAGTCCAACCACTGTCCCTAACCACTGCCACCCATTTACAGCGACCCTAATCACTGCTGCACCAGTCGTATTGTCCCCTGATCACCACCACATCAGTCATATTGTCCATAATCACTGCCAGAACGGTTACAGTCTCCCTGATCTCTGCCACCCCAGTTACTGTGTTCCATGACCACTGCCACACCAGTGCAGTGGTGTCTCTGTATGCCACCTATACTAAACCTGGCCTGTACCAGGTGCCTGGACCGATCCTTTGCCTGTTTGATGACCATGTCTCTGCCAGCGGTCTGAACTGACCCATCTGCACATCCCACTGACTACATTCCTGCAAGACTCCAGGCCAGTAAACGGGCATTCCTGGTGGCAGCCATGTACCAGTAGGCTAGGTTTGCTTGACGCATTGAAACTGGGACTATTTTACAGTAGTAGACACTACATCATATTCCCTGACTACTCGTATACAGGTGACCATTACAGTACATTGGTTTTGACACGATGGACTTGTGTGATACACAAGATAAAATATCCAGTACATAATTGGTCTAGACAGTGAAAAAGTCTTGTGTGGTATCGTCATGCTTGGGAGGAGTAGTAGAATGTGTTCTGGGTTGTAATTCAAAGTATGCCCATGGTGCATGGGAGAATGTGAGAAATATCTTATTAAATTGACTGCTTTGTGTAAAAATATATTAATTTTCATTTTGTTTCCACGTTTTTGAAAAACTTGTGGCAATAAAATTAAATTTTCAAAGGCTCAGTATGTCTCTTAAAAATTACCTTGTGATGTATACTTTCCAAAATGTGTATATTTTGTGGTTGTTTCTACTGTTCTGGTGCTCCAGGGCCTCCAAAAATGTGATAGGTAACAAGGAAATTAGATGTGTAATTTATGTTCCTAGAATGCCTGAAGGTGCTTCCTTGGATTCTGAGCCCCACTATATGGCTAGGCTGTGAAAAAGTCTCACACATGATATCACCATACTCTTTCCTGCATTTCCAAAAACTTGTGGTGAAAATGACACTTTCAAACGACTCACTATGACTTTCCGAAAATACCCTGTAGTGTTTGCATTCCAAAATGGGGTAATTTTGTGGGTGCTTCCACTGTCCTGGTGCTCCAGTGCCTAAGAAAATGTGGTGGGTAGTCAGGAAATTAGATGCGTAATTAACCTGTAATTTATGCTCCTTGAAAGCCCAAAGGTGCTCCTTGGATTTTGGGCCACTCTACATCTGGGCTGTGAAAAAGTCTCACATGTGGTATCCCCATACTCGGGAGGCATAGCAGAGTGTGTTTTGAGGTGTAATGCTAAGTATTCCTATGCTGTGTGTGGAAAATAAATTGCTAAAATGGCAATATTGTAAAAAAAAAAACCACCTCTTCATTTTCCAAATAATTGTGACAAGTAATTACAAAAAAAACAAAAAAAAAATCACCATGCCCCTTTACTGAATACCTCATGAAATGAGAGAGGCTGTCAGTACATATACAGTTGTGTTCAAAATAATAGCAGTGTGTTGAAAAAAGTGAATAAAGCTCAAAATCCTTCTAATAGCTTTTATTTCCATACACACAAATGCATTGGGAACACTACACATTCTATTCCAAATCAAAACATGAAGAAAAATATATCAAATTTGTGTTGTTCCTCTAAAACAAAATTTAAGAAAAGTGAATATTAGACTGTTCGAAAAAAATAGCAGTGTTTGTATTCTTCTTTACAAACTCAAACATTCACTATATAAACTGAAAAATGTTTGAAGATTTTGCTTTCCTTTGAAACACTTAATTAATATTTAGTTGTAGTCGCACTGTTTCTGAGAACTGCTGTACATCTGTGTTGCATGGAGTCAACCAACTTCTTGCACCTGTGAACAGGTATTCCAGCCCAGGATGATTGAACTACATTCCACAGTTCTTCTCTATTTCTTGGTTTTGCCTCAGAAACTGCATTTTTGATGTCACCCCATAAGTTTTCTATTGGATTAAGATCCGGGGATTGGGCTGGCCACTCCCTAACGTCAATCTTGTTGGTCTGGAACCAAGATGTTGGACGTTTACTGGTGTGTTTGGTGTCATTGTCTTGTTGGAACACCCATTTCAAGGGCATTTCCTCTTCAGCATAAGGCAGCATGACCTCTTGCAGTATTCTGATGTATTCAAACTGATCCATGATCCCTGGTATGTGATAAATAGGCCCAACACCGTAGTATGAGAAACATCCCCATATCATGATGCTATCATGATCAGTCCACAAAATATTGCACCATTTCTGTTTAGGCCAGTCAATGTGCTCTTTGGCAAATTGTAACCTCTTCAGCACATGTCTTTTTTTTCAACAGTGGGACTTTGCGGGGGCTTCTTGCAGATAGCTTGGCTTCACATAGGCGTCTTCTAATTGTAACAGTATTCACAGGTAACTTTAGACCGTCTTTGATCTTCCTGGAGCTGATTGTTGGCTGAGTCCTTGCCATTTTGGCTATTCTTCTATCCATTCGAATGGTATTTTTTCGCTTTCTTCCACGTCTTTCAGGTTTTGGTTGCCATTTTAAAGCATTTGCGATCATTTTAGCTGAGCAGCCTATCATTTTCTGCACTTCTTTATATGTTTTCCCCTCTCCAATCAACTTTTTAATCAAGGTACGCTGTTCTTCTGAACAATGTCTGGAACGACCCATTTTCCTCAGAATTTCAGAGAGAAATGCACTGTAACCAGCATGTACAACATTTGCTGCCTTCCTTCCTTAAATAAGGGCAATAATTGCCACCTGTTTTTCAAAGAATGAATGACCTCACTAATAGAACTCCACACTGCTATTATTTTGAACATGCGCCTTTCAATTAGTGATTCAATTACACAGAATCAGCAGCATGCATGTCATGACTGTTGGGTCTGTTGGATTTCTATTACTCTACTACACCTGCTAGTAAATTATTTGCCATGTAGAAATATAATTTCTACCAAAAACAGTGATTGATCAGGTTAGTGATTTCTGACTGCTATTATTTTGAACACAACTGTATATACCATAATTTTCAGATTTTAAAACTTTCACTCTGACTAAATAATATACACTGCTTTTGGGTTATTTTTGCCAAAAAAATATAGCAGTATACATTTTGGCCTAATTTTTTGAATAAGGTTTGGTTGCAAAATTTTATAACAGAAACTAAGAAACACGTTTTCTTTTCAAAATGTTCTGTATTTTATCATTTATATAGCAAAAAATAAAAAACCAAGTGATAATTTAAATGCCAACAGAGAAAGCTCTAACTGTCTCAAATAATGTTAAAAATGTCATTTGGGTACAGTGTTGCATGACTGAGTAATGAATTATTTATAGTGTAACAGCCCTGAAATGTGAAAATTAGCCTGGGCAGAAAAGGGGGTGAAGGTGTCCAGTATTGGGGTGGTTAAGTAACTGACCTGCATAAAGAATGCAGATAAGGATTTATGATTTTACTGAAATATCTAGGGATGCACCGAAATGTCGATGGCCGAACTGTTTCGGCCGAAAACACCCCTTTCGGCCGAAATGAAAAAAAGCACTGATACAGGTGCCAAAAAAACCCTGCCATCGCCCAACCCTCACCACCGGCCGCCACTCGGTAGTTCTCAGCCTTACCTGAGAAACCATCGATCCCGGCGCTGGGCATAGAGATGAGTGAAGGAAAGATGGCCTCCACTCATCTCTAAGCCCTTGGAGGACTGGAGCAATGTTACTTCCTGTTCCGGCCATTTTTTTTTTTAAAAGCACTAGATCAATGCTTTTTTATATGATCCAATGCTTTACATTGCAGAGGAGAAATGTGGGTTCTTATTGACCCCATATCTCTCCATAAAGAGGACCTGTCACTAATTATTTCTGTCACAGGGGATGCATGCATTCCTTGTGATAAAAATAAGTGATTAAAATTTCTTTTAAAGGAACAGTGCAAAAAAAAGCCAGACACATTAAATACATTTTTTTTAAAAAGTTTAACGTGCCCACACGTAGTGGTGAGTGCATACATAGGCCATGCCCACATATGTAAATGGTGTTCAAACCACACACGTGAGTTATCGCCACGAACGTCAGAGCAAGAGCTATAATTCTCACACTAGACCTCCTCTGTAACATTACACTGCTAACCTGTAGAACTTTTTAAAGCATCACCCATGGAGATTTTTAAGTACCGCAGTTTCACGCCATTACATGAGCGTGCGCAAATTTAAAGAGCGACATGTTGGGTATCTGTTTACTCGCCGTAACATCCTCTTTCATATTGTACAAAAAAATTGGAGTATAGTGTTTTTTTTTTTTTTTTTTTTTTTTTTTTTTATCTGTGTATTTTTTTCCAAAAAAATAAATATTCATTTTTAAAAACTGCACGTTTCGATTTTTGGCCAAGTGCATTTAAAATTTTCGGTTTCGGCACCAGAATTTTAATTTCGGTGCACCACTACTAATATCACTCGTTTGCTTGTTTTGGATCTGTGTTTCAGAGTATTAAGCCAGAGCCAATAAGACACCTTGCTTTATTAGTCAGCAGAATCAACTCTTGAGTTTCTTTCTGTACAGGTTTTCCTTTAATGCAGACGTGTGAATGCAGCATTTTCTTTTCCAGGTTTTTTGTTCTATAATAAAAGGTTGATGATATTATATGATGATATGACGAGATGCCTTTTCACTCTGTTTTGAACAGTTCTGTACCTTGTTCATGTTGGTTATTTTCTCTTACCTGTGTTTGTTTTACAGGCCTCAACAAACAATGAAAGCTCTAACCACAGCTTTGGAAGCCTGGGTTCTTTAAGCGACAAAGAGTCAGAGGTGTGTTTACCGGGATCCCAGATCCTGTCAACGTCTCTTTTCCTTATCTGACAAATATTTATTATTGTAATTTTATACTTTTTGCTGTGTATTCGGAGACAAAATACCTGTTGGTTCATGTAACAGATGTTTTTTTTAGTATTTATAGATTCTAATCACATTACACAACTGTCTGTAATAGCTGCCAATAATACATCATATTACAGAACAAGAGGGCAGGTTTAAAGAGCCTGTGTGTCTAATCGTTACTAGTTGCCAATATGAAAGTGTTACTACTAAACCAGGATCCTGCATTCACTATATCTGGTCTCCCACAGTACACACAACATGGAAATGCAATTATTTTAGTAAATATAAACTGCTAAATACCTTTTCTCATCAGCAGTTACAGCAGTCTTGTGACTTCAGCAGAGCACTGGTTAAAGCTTGTAGGAGGAGTTTTCTTTCTGCTTTAGGAGGATGCATAACCCCTGACCCTCTGTCTGGACAGTACTGATTGGCCTTGTGCTGATCACATGCACTCTACCAAGGAAAAAAAAACCTCTAGCAATACACATCAAACTGAGCATGTGCATGTGACTACGTGTTCAGTCTGTTTTATCAAGTGGACATTTGAACAAGAGGAGGGGCAGAGAAAACAGGATCAAATGGCCTTTTTACACAATGCGGAGGATTAACCCCTTAGGTTCCACAGTGAGTATAACTAGCATGCTGTACTGCATATACAGACTGATTTTACTGTTGTGGGTTTAGTAACACTTTAATGAATCAAAGAACAAAGTGCAGTGTCCCATAGCAACCATTGTTCTAAAGATTGGGAAATTATGTGGTTGTTTTTTCTAAAACTGTACATGGTAGCCAATCGGCTTCTAACTTCAGCTTGTTCAATTACGCTTTGACAAAATAACCTGGAAGCTGATTGGTTTCTATACAGAGTTGCACCAGATTTTGCACACTCCAGTTTTAGTAAATCAACCCCTATTTCTTTATCTCTTTGCAGCTATCCATATAAATGGAGATTAAAGGAAAATGTAAACAAAAGTATGCCAAATGACATTACCATTCATAGATGACATTTTCAGTATTGCATGGGGTTATAAAAATGAACAATACTTATTATGAAGGAGTCCTAGTGTTCTATGTTTTTCAGCGGGCATCTGAGTTCTTGTCCAGCCATTCTGTAATAGTTTACTTCCTTCACTGACTTATAATCATTAGTTGACCAATAGATTGCTGCCTTATTCTTACACTTTTGGTCACTTCTTTAGAGAACTTCATGATCAAATAGAATTTGGTTGAAGCTTTATTGCACACATCCTGTGTGTTTCTTATAGGAGTACTGCACCTTTAGTCTGGAGTGCTCTCCCATTTCTTTTAAAGCTTTCGCAAATTAGCGGAAAGTTTTAAACACCGCTTGAAAACGCAGCTCTTTAGATAAATCAATTAGATTTCCTTCTCATCTGTCAGCTTGGTGACTTCAATTTCACATCCACGGTGAACGCTGCTCCGCACATTCATTCTTGCACAGGTTAACTGTGCTTTCCCACAGAAAACGCACCAAAACCAAAGGTCATAAGTATATGGGAAAGCACAGCGAACCTGCAGAAAATCATCTGTTAAGCGATCCCCAGCAGGGGCAGTGTAAAGCCACCCTAAGCCCTGGTTCACACCGCTGCGACTTCAGGTGCCACATGCCATTTACAAATCACACCTGAAGTTGCATCTAATGTATTTCTACTGTCTTAATCGGTGCCATTGATATACTAGCGCAATTTGAAAATTTTTTACTGCATTACTTTTTTCGCCACTTCAGTGCGATTTAACTCTCATAGACTATAAAGTAAACGGCACTGAAATTGCACCTGTGTCTATATAAGAGCTGCTTTGAAGTAATGAGACTAAATCGCACCACTTAGAAATCGCATTCGGTGTAAACCACAGCTAAAACTCAGCTTGTATTCTATATGTCTGAGCCTTCCATTTCATAATTTATTTTATAAAATGGATAAATGTGAGCGCACAAATACACTTTAAAAGTGAAAGCAGCCAAGCACAAGGTAAGCAAAATAACCCTGAAATGAATAATATAAAAATGTGCGGCGCTAAGAAAGGTATAAATATAAAAATAGTGTCTAATGATAAACATAAAATCAGATCAAGATTCACTGATCATAATAAATCATAAATAAGTTCATCAGGTGACCAAGGTGCTCATTACTCCTGCGTCTTCCTGGAGAAGGTGAATGTGCAAATAGGCGTATAAGCAATGCGCACTCACCAGAAAGCGCAAGTAAATGCGAGTTATAAATTTATTCTGATGTCATCGTGGGTGATCGCAGGGATCTAGTGCCTCTCCTCTGTGGGTGGATGGGTCTCAAGGTGTAGGCTGGTTGCTATCAGGGTACTTCAGAGTTCCCTTGTGTGGGATAGGTAAGTGCAATCCTCTGGGTCTAATGGAGGCTCCTTCTCTGGAGGTTAGGGTAGCTATGAAACCAAAAACTCCCTGAAATGCAGATTACTTCAGCCCCTTCAAAGTGCTTTGATCCAGCCAGCCCCACTTTTGTTCTGACCACACTTCCAAGCATATTCCTACTTCAGACAATATTGTCTGAAGTAGGAATATGCTTGGAAGTGTGGTCAGAACAAAAGTGGGGCTGGGAACCTCCATTAGACCCAGAGGATTGCACTTACCTATCCCACACAAGGGAACTCTGGAGTACTTTGATAGCAACCAGCCTAGACCTTGGGACCCACCCACACAGAGGAGAGGCACTAGATCCCTGCCATCACCCACGATGACCATTTGATGACATCAGAATAAATTTATAACGCGCATTTACTTGCGCTTTCTGATGAGTGCGCATTGTTTATACACCTTTTGCACATTCACCTTATCCAGGAAGACGCAAGAGTAATGAGCATCTTGGTAACCTGATGAACTTATTTATGATTTATTATGATCAGTGAATCTTGATCTGATTTTGTTTATCATTAGACACTATTTTTATATTTATACCTTTCTTAGCGCCGCACATCATTTTTACATAATTTATTTTACTTTTGAGTTTTTCTGTTTTCTGCAAGCTCTAACCAGCCTGGCCCTCGTGATCTTGGTTTCCGATTTTGCTTTGAAACTTTTGCGGATAAGTGCATATTTTGTATTAAAATTGTATGGTAACCACAGGATATATTACATTGATGAATTTTGGAAACAAATACTTGTCGCTTTTTGGTGCAATGACTTTGCACCCATGTCTGCTGAATTGGGTCCATAAATATACCAGTCAGTTTGTCCATCCAAAGCAAAGAAACAGGTTCTCCTGATAGGCAAACTACTCAGATTGGTCTTGCTTGTGTTCCCTCACTGACCTGTTTACCTTCTGAAGACCCGATTCTGCTCAAAGTTGGAGAACCTCCGCCTGCCCGTGTGATAGTATTTTGGGTTTTTTAACTGCATATGAGGATAAGAAGATTATTCAGTGTTCCCCCTTATGCAATTGTACCAGATATTTCACAGGGCTCTGGAGATGACAGGGGAGCACTTGAAAGTACCTACACAAGGGGCGGGTAGCCTATTGCGACAGCCTGTAAATATGGTTGGAGACCAAATTTTTTTTTTTTTTTGCACTTTAGGGCCTTCTCTGAGCAAGCAGCCACTGGCATAGGGCATCTGGGTTAAAATTTTTGATTTGAAAAAAAAAAAAAAATGCTGTACTAATGGATATTGGATTTACCAATACAAACCTAATTTCACACACTTTCTTGTTTTATTGTACATGATTATTTTGTTTGAAATTGTCCTGCGATAGTTACTTTTTTCAATTGACGTTTAACTTTATTAAGTTTCTTATCAGAAATTTTGTCTATCTTCTCTCCTGTCCTCCAGACTCCAGAAAAGAAACAGCCAGACTCTTCACGGGGGAGGAAGAGGAAAGCAGAGAATCAGAGTGAAAGCAGTCAAGGTAATAAACTATTTTTACTTTTTATGCAACACATTTGAATTTGGATTCAAATTCCTCCATGGGACTGGGCGCTCTGCTTGCATATGGTATCAAATATATTCCTCTCTACATCCAAAAGGGGTCCATTAATTACATTGGATCCAGTAGGAGCTATGTTAAAAGTGTCAGTGCTGCCCAGGATTTCCAAGTGACCAGTTTGTAAGATGGACACCTTTTGTCTACTTTTAAAATAGATCTCCTTCCAATGTATTTCACAATAACCTCATTATTTATTTCAGCGTCCTATAGTACATCTGTTCCTAACATGATGTAGGTGACATTCTGCCTAATCATCCTATAGCCGCTGGGAATTCTGACTTGATTTTCTGGTCATATATTTTATCAGCTGTAATCTCTGTTTTATCACAAGCTGCAAAAAACTTTGTATACTTCATAGGTATTAAGAAAGTTATTGAAGTATTGATTGCTAACATAATGTATAGTGTTAAGTCCCTAAAGTATACCTATCATATTGTAATGAAAAATTAAGAGTTCTTGCATAATGATAGAGGGCATCCATTAGTGGGTTGCACACCTCTCTGGTATGTTGCTCCAGGCCAACCAAAGATCAGTTGCATGGGAAGATAAGATGGGGATCATGCATGTTGGTCCTGTACACAAAGATTGCAGAATTTGGGAGTCTGCAGCTAATAAGAGGGGTGTGGGAGTGCTAAAAGTAATGTGATTCAAAGAATGACCCTGAATGTGCACCTACCCCACATTTTAGTTTTGAATAATGGGGACCCCTTTGGAAAACAGTATAAAAAAGGCATTGGTGTGTGCAATATGTGTAGGTATGTTTGTATACATTAATATACAAAAAATGTGCAGCGCAAAAATTAAATAAAATTCAATAAAAAGGCACATATAAAAAACATTATGAGAATGTTCATAAAGTGACTGTAAGTGCTCATAGGAATCCTGCATTCTCTTTAATTCGGTGCTTGTGCAATCCGGTATAGAAGAAATGTGCACTCACCGGAACGCATAATAAAATGCGCGTTTGTATAATAAATCCTGATGTCATCAAGGTCATCTGAGTTATGGCAGGAATGGGGTTGAATCCCTCACAGAATATATGGATCCTGGGGCTTTAAGTGTTGATCAGGTGAATACCAGAGATCCACTTTTATACGAATTCCCAGTTCTCTCTTCAGCCTTGCAATGTTGAAGTTTCCTTGACCTCCTACTTCCACTGCAGAGTGGATGTACAGTGGCTGGATCTCTGGGATGAGAAGACTAGCGCTGCACAGTTCTTGTATATTTTAGTTATTTGAGGTTCATTTGGTTACCTTGGTGCATAAAGGCTGATCGTTTTTTGTGCGCTCGCATACACCTACCATTTATGTTTGTGTACATTATAATGCAGAAGATACTGCTATTTATGGAGAAATATACAGTACTTAGAAGAAACTATTGTTTCCCAGTGTATGTTCAGCTTAATGTGAAATGTCTCAGAATCTAGTAGTCTGAGTGCAAGTGTTTGCATAACCTTTACCGTGAGGTAGTTTTAATGCTGACCTATACTCAGTTGTAAATGTTGAAGTACTTATAATAGTAGGAATTCTGGGGCTGCTCTTTTGCCCAGTTTTTCAATGCCTCGGAGGAAGAATTCTTCCTGTTCATAGACTCCGCCCCCTAAAGACCTCTTCCATATTGTTATTATACAGGATTTATATAGCGCCGACAGTTTGTTCAGCGCTTTACAATATAATGGGAGACAATACAGCAACAATATAGTTCAATACAAGAGGGTTAGGAGGGCCCTGCTCCTTGGAGTTTACAATCTAGGAGGGAGGGGCTAGTGGTACAAAAGTAGTAACTATGGGGGAAGGACTGGTTGGAAGAGTAGAAGATTCCATTATTAGCTTAGGGCAGGATAGGCTTCCCTGAAGAGAGAGGTTTTCAGAGATCGCCTAAAAGTGAGCAGAGTAGGAGATAGACTGATAAATTGGGGTAGAGAGTTCCAGAGGATGGGGGAAGTCCTGGAGACGAGCATGGGAGGAGGAGACAAGGGAGCTAGAGAGCAGGAGGTCGTGGGAGGAGCGGAGAGTACGGTTTGGGTGATATTTGGAGACAAGATCGGTGATGTAATTTGGGGCAGAGTTCTAAATGGCTTTATATGTTTTTGTTAATGTTTTGAATTTTATCCGTTGGGCAATGGGAAGCCAGTGGAGGGATTGGCAGAGAGGGGTGGCATATACAGAACGGTTAGTAAGGTGGATGAGTCTGGCAGCAGCATTCATGATAGACTGAAGAGGGGATAGCCTGAGATGAGGTAGGCCAATGAGGAGGGAGTTACAATAGTCAAGGTGAGATATAACAAGGGAGTGAATAAGTTGCTTAGTGGTTTCCGAGGTTAAGAACGGGCATATCTTGGAGATGTTGCGGAGGTAAAGTCTACAAGAATTGGACAGTGATTGGATTTGGGACTGAAAGGATAGATGGGAGTCTAGGATTACACCTAGTACCCTGGCATGAGGGGAGGGACTGATGACTGTATTATTGATCTTGATGGAGAAGTCAGGGGAGGGGGCACAGGCGGGGGGGAATGCTAAGAGCTCAGTTTTGGAAAGATTGAGTTTGAGGAAGTGTAGTGACATCCATGCTGATATGTCACTTAGTAGGTTAGTAATGCGAGAGGAGACTGAAGGGGTGAGTTGAGGGGTAGAAAGATAGATTTGTGTGTCATCAGCATAGATATGGTACTTAAAACCATGGGAGTTTATCAAGTGACCATAGGAGGAGGTGTAGATGGAGAAGAGTAGTTTGTCCAAGGACGGAACCTTGAGGGACCCCTACAGAAAGAGGGAGTGAAGAGGAGGTGCCAGTAGTAATCTGACGTTTGATTGGGGATATGCTTATAGCCTTCTGTGAGACTGGAAGAACTGTAGATGCTTAAGCACTGTTTGTGGAACAAATCTGCTGTTTCTATTTAGAAATGATATACTAAAAGTATACTTTTTAATTATATACTGTAGTTCCATACATACCTGTGCCAATGAATTTGTGCTATAGTAGAGCAAAAATGTCTGGTCATGTGAGTGGCCAGTGTAGGATGATACAAGACTGGTCCATAACTTACGGCTTCTTTTAGCATATTTAGTCTGTAGAAAACAGGGTGGACAGGCAGGTGGAATGTATTACCTGTGTTCACATCCTTTTCAAAAGGAGCTAATCCGTGGCAGGTCACATACTTCTGTCAGTACAGTTTCTTGTGTCTTGCTGTCTCGTTCACAAAAGTTCAGACTTGGGTGTTGCCATTCTAAACTGGGATATTTCCTAACTGTAGTTTTACTAACCAAACTCCCAGAATACTGCTTCTATCTGCCTGCCAATTTATAAAGGGAAACCATGAGCACACAGATTTGAGAGCTGCCATTGCTGACTTGATTTTAAAGATGCTGGCTTCAGGGCTCTCCTCATGAGTCAAGCATCATTGTCAAGTAAGTAACCGACCTTGAGGCCAGCGTGCCTTAGAATTCTATGTTCCTGTTTTGTTAGGATAACTTCAGGATTCCTTCTTGCTTCCAAAATGGAGAAAAATATTATGTCTTCAGATAATTATTTTCTGATTTAGGTTTCTACTATCTTTTAGACTAGTTCATTATTTTTAGGAATTTTATTGTTCACTTTGTTCCTTTTTTCCTTCTAGGAAAGAACATTGGAGGCCGAGGACACAAGATTAGTGACTACTTTGATGTAAGTTTGAAAGATGGGATAAGATCTTCTCCCTCCCTCCTGGACCATTCAAATTTCGATCAGTGTGTTGCTGTCCCCGCTTGACAGAAGTAGAATTTTCTTGATCGGTAGCTGTAGCCAATCTGTTGGAGGTCCTTCCTCTGTCACCATTTTTCTCTTGGTGTCAGGAAAATTTATCAGAAGTGACTCATGCTGATAGCAGAAGAACAAAGCAGCAGACAGAAATGACACTTAGTGCTCTTGAGACAACTATACACCATAGGGGGATATGCGTTCATATTTCATGTCTGAGGTTTACAACCACTTTTAAGGTTAAAAAACCTTTAGAGTTTAGAACCATTTTAAGGTACAACTAAAGGCAAAACCTTTTTTTTTTTTTAGCTTTGGATGGAGTGGAGATGAATTAAACCACCTGCCAGGTTTTAATTGTTGTCTGTGCCCACTCTGTTTGTCCTGTTTACCAATATAATTGGAAGTGAAAGTAAAAGAAAACTCAAATTTTGGCTGTCCCCAAGAAAGTAAAGCGCAGTCTATCCAAAACTGAGCTCATAATATTTCCTCCCCTACGTGCCTCTTCCCCTGATTTCTCGATCAGGATCAATAGCACCACTATCAACCCATGCAAAGGTGCTAGGGGTAACCCTGGATTCTGAACTATCCTTTCAGGTCCACATCCAATCCCTGTCCCAAATCATGCCACCTCTGCAACATCTCCAGAATACGCCCCTTTTTAACCAATGATACCACAAAGCTCCTAATTCACTCCCTGGTTATCTCTTGCCTTGACTACTGCAATTCCCTCCTCATTGGCTTACCTTTACATAGGCTTCCCCCCTCCAGTCCATCATAAATGCTGCTGCCAGGCTCATCCACCTTACCAACCGTTCAGTGTTTGCTACCCCTCTCTGTCAATCCCTCCACTGGCTTCCACTCGCCCAATGAATAAAATTCATGATACGAACAGCTTACAAAGCCATCCACAACTCTGCCCCCCGCTACATCACTAACATGGTCTCAAAATATCAACTAAACCGCTATCTTTGATCTTCCCAAGACTTTCTGCTCTCTAGTTCCTGTGTCAGTCAGCTCCCATGCTCGCCTCCAGGACTTCTCCCGAGCTTCTAGGAACTCCCTACCCCAATCTGTCCGGCTATCTCCTAATCTATCCACCTTTAGACGAGCGCTGAAAACCTTTCTCTTTAAAGAAGCCTATCCTGCTTCTAACTACTTAACTGCCTTTTATTTCTTCCATCAGCTTATCCCCCACAGCTATTACCTTTTTGTATCACTCAACCCTTCCTCCTAGATTGTAAGCTCTAACGAGCAGGGCCCTCTGTTTCCTCTTGTACCAAATTGTATTGTAACTGTAATGTCTACCTTCATTTTGTAAAGCGCTGCGAAAACTATTGGTGCTATATAAATCCTGTATAATTAAAATAGAGGGGAAATCATCCAATGGAGGCACTAGTTCTGGTGACCTGGGGGTCCCCAAGGAAATCCCATAATTTTCAGAGATTGTCTGACTGCCTCTTTTGGCTGTGGAACAGGAAATGAAGGTAAATTTCTCCATTGTGACACAGATGGCAAAAAATAAACTGAGAGGGGTTAAAACCCTCCCTTACTCTATCTAAAATGAAAAAAAACGTTTTGCCTGTAGTTTTACTTTTAAGTCTCCACGTTGCATATGAGTTTCCTTCTGAAAGACTGCTGAGTAGAGCTCTGGGTTTAAAGAATGAAAGTTCCATGATGTCCTGATCAAAAGCCCTGTTCTGTAGCATTGTAGGCCAGGTTGTGAATTTACATTTTTTATATTGGTTCTATACACTGTTTGAGATGGGGTGGTTTGAACTAGACTAGCCAAGCCATATTTTGTACCAAATAGCACAGCATTCCAGTTAAAACAGAACTGAATGCAGCAAAATTAAAAATTGCCAACAGGTTGCTTTGTTGCAAAAGAGGCATGCAGAGCATAGGTTAGTATTTGTGCCTTTATATCCACCTAAAGAATATGTAAACCCAACATTTCATGTTCCTGACATGTGCCTGCTGTTACTTGTACTTGTGTGAAAAAGTATCCTGTTCTCCTTGCATTGCTTCCTTTTATGTGAAATCCCTGGTGTTCCTGTCAGTCCCTATTTTCCTATTAAAAACGGGCTACACTAAGCATGAGAGTACAGCATTGTAGGTTCTCTAGCTATGCTGGGAACCCACCCTCTCCAATGATCAGACTTGTCCTGACACCCCCCTCTTCCTGCACAGCCATTCACTGGGATGTTCAGTGTGCTGCTGTTTCTCCTCCACCAGCTCTTATGCAGCTGAGAACAAGAGGGAAGGTCATCACTCATAAATAAGGAAGAGAAATGGTATTTATAACGTGTTTTTTAATATCTATACCCAAATGTTTTGCCTTTCATTTCTATTTTAAACTGGGTTGTTTTACAAGGTGAGGGTTTACAATCACTTTAACTGCTCAAGGTATCTTTCTAGAATACGATTAATGGACGCATCATCTAACTGCATTTTTATTTAGGTCATTTGCTGGGGGGTTTGAAATTTAATTTTATTGACCTCCCACGGAGAATTGGTAGAGTAGGTGTTGCATGTGGGTTTAAAGTGAAACTACACCTAAACTTTTTATTTCTTCTCTTCCTTTTGTATAGAGTTGGGAAAGGATAGAAACTCTGTCAGGAATTACTTGGGAATAGAAAAGAATCACCCCCCTTTAAAATAATCACATTTTGTTGCTTTGTAATCTGAAATGAAGAAAGCTACAGTTTTTGTTTTATCCAGCTGTATTTGTGCATCTTACAACATCCAAGTGACAGGTATAACACCAACATGTCAGTAACAAAATCAAAAACAGAATCACCGAGTTGGAAAAAGGATCACCCCCTTGGGTCAGTATTTTGTTGAACCACCTTTTGCTTTAATTACAGCCTTTACTCTTGTAGGATATGTCTGTACTAACTCTCTACTCTAGACTTTGCAATATTTGCCTGCTCTTCTTTGCAGAACTGCTTGTTTGTGGACTGCAGTCTTCAAGTCATTCAACAGACTTTTCAATGGGGTTTAAGTCTGGGCTCTGGCTAAGCCATGCAATGACATTCACCTTTCTCTCCTTCAACCACTGTGTGGTAATTCTTGCTGTGTGTTTTGGGTCATTGTCATGCTGGGAAGGTAAACATTCTTCCCATTGACAACTTTCTGGCAGAGGGCCAGGTGACAAGTTCTCCAGTCCCTGCTGCATAGACACACCACAATAACAGGATATTACCACCCCCATGCTTTACTTTTGAAAAGGTGTTATTTGGATAGTGAGCTGTATTGGATTTTCCCCAGACATATTGTTTAGTGTTGAGGCCAAATAATTCAATTTTAGTCTCCTCAGACATTAACACCTTTTTCATGTGGCCTCAGAATGTTCAAGGTGCGTTTTGGAAAAGCTCAGTCGTGAATGCCTGTTGGCTTTTCTTGAGAAGTGGCTTTTTTTCTTACAACCCTCCCATTCAAGCCACATCTGGGAAGAATTTGTGATATAGTTGTTTCATGCACACAATGACCCACTCTTTGTAATAAAAATTCCTGCATCTACTTCGGAGCGTCTGTAGGCCTCTTGGTATCCTCTCTGACCAGTTTCCTCCTGGCTCTTTCATCCAGTTTGGAGTGGTATCCTGATCCAGGGAGGGTCTGTGTTCTACAAATACCTTCCACATCTTAAACATAGACTTCACTGTGCTTCTAGGCATTGATAAAGCCTTTGAAAGTTTTCAGATCTTTTGACAGTGCTTTGCCACCCATAGTTAATTGTATCAGTTGCACTACCATGGACTGAAATGCTCCAGGAAAGCTCTTTTCATGCTGAGATAATCAAAATGACCACAGCTGATCAGAGTTGAAAGTCAAATGGCTTTGTGTGCTGTTTAGAAGGTGATTAGCTACTCCTGATTGAGTTTACAAGTCACTCTTAGGAGGAGGTGATCCTTGTTCTGACTCAGTGATTCTGTTTTTGAATTTTAAAGGGGGGTTGATTCTTTTCTATACCCAATGTATTTTAGTGTAATCACCACTGTTTTTTATTGTTTGCACTATAAACAAAAAAAAGCAAAAAAAATTTGAAAAAAAAAAGTTTTTCTTTTTTTCTATTATAGAATTTTGCAAACAGGTAATTTTTCTCCTTCACTGATGTGCGTTGATGAGGGTGCACTGATAGGCAGCACTGTTGGGCACTAATAAGGTGGCACGGATAGGCAGCACTCATGGGCACTAATAGGCTGCACTGGTGGGTGGCACTGATGATCAGTGCCCTGATTATCAGTGCAGATGTCCTCTGTGACATTTGCCGGTTATTGGCAGTACTTTCCTCACGCTGTGATAGCATGTGGAGAGTGCTGCCGATAACTGGCAACTGTATTTACTTGGTGATCTGCTGTCATTGGACACAGCTGATCACGTGGTAAAAGGCTGCTGTGATTGGCCTTTTATCTCATTCGTAGGATACATCGATTACTGCTCTGCTGGGTGTGTGCGCCGCTGGGGGCACGCGGGGGGGGGCGTGTTCTGGGAGAACGTCATATGATGCCCTACCAGAACTGGACAACCACACTGTAGCCTCCTTTCAGCTATAGTGCACTTGTGAAGTGGTTAAAGGGATACACTTGGAGAGCACAAACCAGAAAACATAATTCCATCCAAATACAATTATTTCACAATTAAACACAGTTATGACAGTATTACAAAAAGGTTGTTGAAACTTTAATGCTGGACGTGTAATTATCCGAGAAATGTGGAATGTGCAGTGTTTCCCAGAGGCAGATAACAGCCCGTGAAAGGCAGGGGCTGTCCAAGAAGGTGCACAAGAAAAGCATGTGTATACAGTGGTGCCTTGGATAACATAATTTTCGGTTTACATATGAATATCCATTGAAAATAATGCCTCGGTTTACGAGTTTTTTGCAAATTTTTTTTCGCAATATGAAGTGTATGTTGGTGCTGATTTTTAAATGCAATTGCCGGGTTTTTTTTTTTGTTTTTTTTTTTCTTCACTATAGCTTACAAGATTAGCAGTCACTTTCCCTGGAGTTACAGGAAACATTGTTTCTTTAACTTGGGGAAATAAACTAAAAGAAAACTTTCTCTCTTTTAGCTGGGGGGAAAGTGACAGCTAAATTTCTGAGCTATAGTGAAGGAAAAACAAAAAAAAAACCGTGATTACATTTAAAAACCAGCATCATGGCAAATAAAAACACGGCGTGGGGTCCCCCCTCCCATCCATACCAAGCGTGGCGTGGGGGAGTCCCCCCCAAAATCCATACCAGACCCTTATCTGGGCATGCAGCCTGGCAGGTCAGGAAAGGGGGGGGGAGAGACGAGTGAGCGCCCACCCACCTCCTGAACCATACCAGGCCACATGCCCTCAACATGGGGGGGAGCTTTGGGGCCTCGCCCCCCCCCCCCCCCCCTCCCCCTCCAAAGCACCTTGTCCCCATGTTGATGGAGACCAGGGCCTCTTCCCCACAACCCTGGCCGGTGGTTGTGGAGGTCTGTGGGCAGGGGGCTTATCGGAATCTGGAAGCCCCATTTAACCTATTTAGGAACTGTCAAACCACCAGAGCAGGCTCTACTGCAGGGGGACATTCTTTTAGTTTTTATTTTTAATAAAGGACTTGTTAAAGACTGTTTCCTGTCTTTTTTTCACACTACACTTGTTGTTTTTTGTGAATGAGTATTGGGACCATGTACCCCCATACTCATTCAAATGGGGGATGCTGGGATCTGGGGGCCCCCTTGTTAAAGGGGGCTTCTAGATTCCGATAAGTCCCCTGCCTGCAGACCCCCATCATCACTGGCCAGGGTTGTGGGGAAGAGGCCCTTGTCCCCATGTCACAAGGTGCTTTGGTGGGGGGGGGGGGCTCTAATGCACCCCCCCCCCCCCATGTTGAGGGCATGTGGCCTGGTATGGTTCAGGAGGGGGGGCACTCACTTGTCGTCCCCTTCCCCCGTTTCCTGACATGCCGGGCTGCATGCTCAGATAAGGGTCTGGTATGGATTTTGGGGGGGACCACCACGCCATTTTTTTTTCCCACTTGGGAGTTCCCCTTAAAATCCATACCAGACCCGAAGAGCTTGGTATGGATGGGAGGGGGAACCCCACGCCGTTTTTAAATAATTTTTTAATTGCCGACAATTCTTTTACATTCAGATGTCAGTGGGGAACCCCGCTGACAGCTGAAACATTAACACATGATTGCCACTACTAAAATACTGCATGAGTTAATAAAATAACTCATGCTGTATTTTAGTAGCATTTGCTTTTTTTTTTTTTTTTTTACCTCTGGAACGGATTAATTGGTTTTCAATGCATTTCTATGGGAAACGGTGTTTCGGTTTACGAATTCTTTGCTATACGAAAAGTTCTGCAGAACAAATTAAATTCATAAACCGAGGTATTACTGTATAATCTGCCTAACTATCCAAAACTTTGAAAATTTTCAACCAAAGCTCCACTTTAAACTTGGCATCAATTTAATTGACAGAGATGGTTGTAATTAAAAGATTGACATGTGGGAGATTTTTTTTTTTATTCTTTGTGGTGTTTGATTCAGAAAAAGAGTGATGTTTTGACAAAAAGGAACTTGACATATTCCTAATCTCTCATTAGAGTTCTTGGCAGGTATAAGATCATTTCAGATTTTGCCTGTGATGACAGCAAGGAAGGCTGTAATTTGTCATATTTCATTCCTCCGTTCCCATATGATTAGTGTACTATACAGGGTAACATTTGATCATGCTATGCTTTATCTGTGCTGTGATAGCACGTCTGCCATGGTACCTTTTGCAATAACACTGGTGTATTACAGTGTAGAGGAAGACACTCAAGTGGACTGGTACCACACATGGGTAAAATTTTATTAGAAAAAAATGATTGATATTGGAATTTCTAATAAGTAATGGGGTTAAATCAACGATCATTTTCAACTGTATTGATGAGGCAGAATTGAAAATTGTTTCAAATATACAAAATTCTAGCAGTGAATGTGGTTTTAATTTGGCAAATTCCATTCATCCCAAAATTAGATTAAATTAAATTAGGTAATTTTGTTTGTTTTTTTTAGAAAAAAAAAATAATAAACATGTCATACTTATCGGTTCTGTGCACTGGTTTTCCACAGAGCAGCCCTGATCTTCTCTTCTCGTGTCTCCTGCCTGCGCTCCTGGCCCCTCTCTTCTGCTGAATGCCCCCAAAGCAAGCAGCTTACTATTGGAGCACCCAAGCAGGCTCACTCTTAAGCCGCTGCTCTGTGTGTCCATTCACACTCGGAGCCATGGCTCTGCCCCACTCCCTCTCTTTGATTGGCTCACTGACTGTGATTGATAGCAGTGGAAGCCAATGGCTCCCACTGCTGTCTCAGCCAATGAGGAGGAAGAGTCCCCGGGGAGCCGAGGCTCATGTGCACATCGCTGGATCATGATGGGGCTCAAGTATTGGGGAGGCTGCTTTCACTCAGGAGGTTCTTTACCTTCATGCATAGATTGCATGGAGGTAAACAACCTTGAACCTTGATGCCATTATTGAATGTACCGCTGAGTATTCATAAACACATTTCCACACAATTCTGTGAATGTTTGGCCAGCTTAACAGCTTGACAAGGGTGATCTTGTTATTAAAGTAAACAAGACCTAAGAAATGGGGGCTGACTCATCCTACTATATTCCCACTAGAACTCTAATATGGCTTTATTGTCTGTTTCTCTGTTGTGGAGATGCCCCCCTCCATTCTTCCATGGTGACGATCTTCTTTGTATTTTAACTTTGTGTTTGTCTTCTCAGTACCAAGGTGGGAATGGCTCCAGTCCTGTAAGAGGTCTACCTCCTTCAATACGGTCTCCACAGAACTCTCACTCACATTCCACCCCTTCATCTTCTGTGAGTCCTGGCTCAGTGCTTTGTTTCAAAAAACCAAATTATATTGCTTCATACATGAGGTTATAAGATTTTGAGTCCCTTCTGTCATGTTAAGCTGAAGTATGTTGCAGCTATAAGTATGAAGTGTAATCATATTGTGTTTTGTGACATGTTTTATAAAAAAAGAAAAACTAGTACAGTTCGTTGTTTAACTTCAGCAGCATACATTTGTTTTTCTTGTTAGGACTGACCATTAAATGTAAAAGTGGTTGTAAAGGTTTTTTTTTTAAATTAAAATAGTAAACATGTTATACGTCCTCTGTGCAGTGATATTGCACAGAGAACCTGGTACCTCCTCTTCTGCGGTCCCCCGCCAGCACTTTTGGATCATTCTTTTCTCTGTGTGCCTCCATAGGAAGCCTCTTCCTATGGTGGCACGCCTGCGGGCTCGCTCCTGTTATGGCTTTGTGCATTCATTGTGTCACGTAGCTCAGCCATATCCCTTGCTCCCTCCTCACAGAATTTGATAAACAAAGGAACCAATGGCTCCCACTGCTGTCTCTGAGCCTAGGAGGGGAATGAAAGAGAGACTGGGCACAGCGCTGGATCAATATGGAACTTGGGTAAGTATAAAGGGAGGTAAGGGGGCACTACAACTAGTGGGACATTTTTTACCTTATTGCAGGGAATGCATTAAGGTAAAAAAAATGTCTAGCTTTTAGAACCACTTTAACTAGGATGGTGAAATCCGTTTTGGGCAACCTAAATAAAGCTGAACACAAAAACTTTAATTTAAATATTTTCTTCACTTGCCTCAAGGGATAAAAATTAACTTTGTGTGCACTAAATGCCCTTGAAAACCCAGATATTACCCTGTAAAATTAGCAGTGGCATCATCACTGTGCTGTACATAGTCCTCCCAGTACAGGCTGCCTGGAGAAAGCTACAGGAGGCTTTGGGGACAAGACCAGTCACCCTGCACAATGAGAGACAGCAGCAGTCACCAGTCTTTATTACAGGAAGCTGCTACGTAGAGGTAATGTTTCACGCTGGATTCCTGCACAGATCTGGAAAAAAAACAAAGATCACCAAGATTCATGTAAGAACACATGACCCTTGTATTTACAAAATATTTGCTTATCCCGGAGTTCACCTTTAAGCGTGTGATGAACAAATGCTATGGTACATAAGCATTTTATCATGCATTCAGATTTTGTCTTTTCCAGTAAATTGAATCCGGTAGCACAGAATCACTAGCAAGAGGCCCCAGTCATTGTATATGTCTCTTGCAGTACAAACGATGAAAAGCTTTTGTTTATATCATTATACCAGTAGGTAACCTGTCATGCAGTTAACTCCAAGTTAATTGTTGAATTGTAGATGCCAAATAATTGTTATTCAACATCTGCAGAGAGCAGCTGCTTCATAACAGGAACATTCAAGATAGCCAAATTCCAAAGCCTACTGGTGACCTGGCCCTTCAAGGCTTGGTTCAGGCTGGGATTTAGCCGGAAGGACCGGTCTTGTATGAGGAGGATCGGTGGGTCAGGTGAGTATAACTTCGGTGTCCTCTCCCCTAGAACAAAACAAGCTTTTTGACCTGTGCAGTGCGGGCACAGCCCCACTGCACGGGCCAAAAAAAAAAATAAATTCCCGGATTTCTGCTTTAACTGTATTGGTTGGTGAGCAAGCTTTTTGTAGGTTGTAACTGTGTATTTAGACATTACCCTGGAGTTTAGCTTTAACATTTTCTTGGTCGAAGAATTTAATTTTCGAGACTTGTAATTTTTAGCATGTTAAGCTGACCTTACCTTCCTTTTAGGTTCGACAGAATAGTCCTTCTCCCACTGCATTAGCATTTGCGGACCATCTTATAACACCCACAAAACAATTATCGTATAAAATAATTCAAGTGAGTATTTCTTATGTAATGTGTTTTTTTAAGGTTTTTTTTTTTTTTTCCTTTTCTTTCAAATCACTTGATATTTTTATATATATGCATACTCCTATCGAAAACCTTCTCTAAGCTGTACCTACTCACATAATTTTTTGTGTGGATTTTCATGCTCATTTGTTGTAACAAAACTGTAGCCTCCTAGATTGTAAGCTCCAAGGATCAGGGCCCTCCTATCCCTCTTGTATTGAACTGTATTGTTGCTGTATTGTCTCCCGTTATATTGTACAGCGCTGAGCAAACTGTTGGCGCTATATAAACCCTGTATAATAATAACAGTGTCAAACACTCTTCTGTCAGTGATTAAACAGTTGTAAACTGATATTCATTTATTTTTTAAGTATCTGTTTTTGTGTTTCTCTTAGACGGATCTTACAATGATGAAACTTGCTGCATTAGAAAGTAATAAAAATCAGGATCTGGAGAAAAAAGAAGGCAGAATAGATGATTTGCTCAGGGTGAGTAAAGCATCCTAAAATATTCTTGATTAAAGGGTTAGCCCAGTCAAGTGATACTTCAGTTATAGCTGGAAGTAACTTTTAATCAATAAATAGAGTGCTGTCAACTCCCCACTCCAAGCTGGTTTTCAAAAGGAAAGGTCAGCAATGGCAGCCTATGTATTTTGCTCATAAAGCCTCTCTATTATTATTCATGCATGTTCGTGGTGAGTACGATGTTAATAAAACATGACCATTAGTATTACAGTATCTGTAGATTATCAAAGTAATATCACATCACTAGGATAAAAAGTATAGTTCAGGGGACATCCGTAAAGCTTCATAGGAAACAAATGCAAATTGTGTTTTGGTTTTTTGTTTTTTTTTTTAAATTGTTTGACCTTTTAATTCTCTTTTTTTTTTTTTTTTTTTTCTTACGTTGCCCTTATTAGCACTATTGTCTGACAAAAGTGTAGCTATTTCTACAAGCACTTTGCAACAATGCCTTGTCATTCCTATGCTTGTATCAGCACTTGAGCATTGCCAGGGTTTATAATGCTTCACAGCGGAGACCTTGTAATGTCCTTGACTATTTCAGCCATGTTGTGATTACAACACTCTTATGGAGCTTTTACGCTGTATTGCTGCTGGTGGCTGCTTGGGCCTCTATACATCTCTTACAAGAGGCACACTATAAATATCTTGCACTGCATCCTTCTATAAATAAACAGTGCACAGATAAATAGGAGAGGATTGACAGTAAATGGTAGTAATATGGTTTTAGAAACTGCCTTTAGGATCTGGAGCAGGTAATTTTGTTGGGAGCTGCCGGTAGCACAATTATCTTGTGCAGATGAATAGTGATGTGAGCTGCCACACACAAAGGATCCATGCATTCAAGGCAAATCCCTTTTACTCTCAATGAATTGACACGTATTTTAGCTTCCTGCTTAGCCTTCAGCAGATGTTTTATTATTCAAAGCCGCAAAACTGCACACTTTTTTTTTAAATTTACAATTTTTATGACTCTCTAGCAGAACAACAACTCGTTCATTAGTAGCAATATGCCATAAAAGGCACTAACATTTGTATTAAGACTTGAAGATAAGCTCTAAGCAGATAAAAAAAAAGACAGTTTAAGGGCCAGTTCGCACTACAAAAATGCACTCCAGATTCATTTCAGAAACGTTTTTGCTTACAGTTTACACCACACGCAGATTCAGTGCAGTTTGCTATGTTCCAGTATGGTACTGTGCAGAAAAAATGCTACAGTTCTATGGTTTTTTTTTTTTTTTTGCACCAGAAATTGACATGATCGGACTTCACTAGTGTGAACTAGGGCCATTGGAATACATGGAAAACACTGTGCATGCATTTTTGATGCAGAAAAAAAAAGCACATTGAACTGCATCTAGTGTGAACTAGCCCTAAAGGCTGGTATACACAGACCAAAAATTGGTCCAGTTCAGCAAGAACCAGCCGAATTTTGGTCCATGTGTACTGCTGTATGTTCAACAGAAGCTGGTCTAACGTTCACTTTCTTTTGAATGGTTATGCTGGAAAACCAGCATTCGATCAGCACTTGCAGCCACTGATCTTTTTATTATGACGTCAGTTGGATAGATTCCCGCATCAACGTCTTTTGTCTTGATGCTGGGATATGTCAGTTTTTTTTCAGTTGAAGGAAAAACTGTAAATGTATACTCTGGTGAAGACCGCTCTGTATTCTTTAATACATTCGTAAATGTATTTTTAAAAGCAACCACTGTGAGAACCTGAATCTGGTGTGGCATCAGCCTCCTGGGATCGGTGTACAGAAAAATCTTGACTTGGAGAGGAAAAAGCATGGAGTTCAGCATTAAAATGAATTTACACTCCTACTGTGAAAAGGGTTATCATTGTTTTGGGTGATTTTATAGACTTTTTTTTTTTTTGTTTTGTTTTTTTTAAACTTGTTTTATCGTTATTACTATGTTTTTTGTGGTGCATGTGTAAACTTTAATGTATGACAAAAGGATTTCCAGAGCACTTTGGTTTGGCTAACAAGACAATACAGCAGCAGGCAACAACTTTCAGGCAGGCTGGCTTTTCATGGAGCCTTGAAGAAAACTTATAAGGGATGAGTTACTGTTAGGAGTCGCTGCTCTCACTCATATAATTGTGGGTTTAAATTTATGCTTGAGGTGCTGAGCTCTGTAAAGAACAGGCTTTTTCAACAGAATCTAAGGAAACTAGAACAGGTATAAAGGATGCTAAAGCTTCACCTGTGTGTGGAAAAGAGGAAAACGAAATATGAATATGCGTCGCCAAAAGAAGCAGAAATGTATTTGATCTGTATTTATTTTTAGTCTCACCATAACAAAAAAAAGTGCAAAACCAACCAACATAACCTGCTGTCAAATCCGTTCTCCCCATATTTCACACAAATGCATGTTTGCCTTGACTTTTTTTCTAAAGACCTCTGTAGGGGTGTCTGTAGAACTGCTCTGGTGGCTTACTACCACCCAGATCACTTATGCTTTAGGCTTCATTCAGATTATCATAAAAGTTTACTGGTTTTATTACATATGTTTTCTAGGAAAAAGGTTCCTGTTTAATAAGTAAAATATTTGTGTATAGCTGAGTTTGAATGCGTAAAAATACACATGCATACATAATTTTGTTTATATGATCATTTATTTTTCCCTCTTTGTTTAGATTTTATTTGTGCACTTTACAAATGTGTATATATGCGTAAGTGTAAAGCACATGTTCTTAGACGCAGATTTGGATTCTGTGTTACGGATCTGAAAGCAGCTCATGTTTACGCACTTGTGTGAATTACACAGTTGAAAACAATGCAGCTGCATTCAGATCTGTAATTAAAAAAAACACTTGTAAACTTTTTTTTTTTTTTTTTTTTTTTGTTGTGTGAATGAAGCCTAACAGTGCAAAAATCCTCTTTGGCAAAGGGTTGAAATGTGTATTGTCAAGCATAAGTTTTCTGCTTTTTTGCATTACTGTGCTCTATAATACATTATGAGGTGTGTTATTTTGCATGCCATTAAGCATGATCTGTGTGTGTTTTAGCAGGGTGTAATTTCTGCCCTTTCTGTTTAAGTACCAAAAACACATGTACAGATGGGCATGTGGTACCGTTCATTTGCTGGCCCTTGGCAGTGGTGACAGTGAGGTTTATTTAACCTATTTGCAGAGGAGGTTTCACCCACCAACCAATTATATTAAAAAATGTATATACATTATTTTCAGTTCAAACTAGGTAATAAAATAAACCTTAGATTGGTACAGGTAGTAACACTTTAATCATATATGTAAATGGCATTTCAGTACTTTCTTGTGAATTTTACTTCTATAATCACTGATGGACAGCTGTTTTGGTTGGGCTTTGGTGGTTTATAATATACTTGGTAATTCTGAATTCTGTCTAACCCACCAGAGAAGTGTGACACCATCATTTGATGTTGTAACATACACAGAGTTGCTGTATCAGTTTTCCTTTAAAAGCTTGTGCTGCTACCCTGTTAAAGAAACAAAAATGTACTCTTCATTTATTTCACATTTCTTGTTATGAAGAGACTGAATATCCAGAGTCTGCAGATATAATAATAGACCTTGGTAGTCTTTCTAATTGCCTTTTATGACCATGTTTTTTTTTCTTCATTTGTTTCATTTGCAGACAAACTGTGACCTTAGGCGACAAATAGACGAACAGCAAAAAATACTTGAAAAATACAAAGAGCGATTAAATAAATGTATTTCCATGAGCAAGAAACTTCTTATTGAAAAGGTAAGCATAGGTCACAACCAGTCTTTCAGACGTTTTTAATAGGAAAAAGTGCACTAACCACTTGCCTACTGGGCACTTTTTACCCCCTTCCTGCCCAGGCCAATTTTCAGTTTTCAGTGTTGTCGCACTTTGAATGATAATTGCATGGTCATGCAACACTGTACCAAAAGAAAATTAGTTTTATCATTTTCTTGAGACAAATAGAGCTTTCTTTTGGTGGTAATCACCACTGGGGTTTTTTATTTTTTTTTTGCTAAACAAACTAAAAAAGACTGAAAATTTTAAAGAAAAGTAAAAAAAAAAATTTTTTCTTAGTTTCTGTTCTAAAATTTTGTAAAGCAGTAATTGTTCTCCGTCACTGATGTGCGCTAATGAGGCTGTAGTGATGAGCACTGATAGACGTCACTGATGGGTACGGACAGGCATCATTGGTGGACACTGAAAGTCAGCCCTGATAGGCGGCACGGATGGGTACGGACAGGCATCATTGATGGACACTGAAAGGCAGCCCTGATAGGCGGCACTGATGGGCAATGATAGGCAGCACCGATGGACGCTATTAGGCGGCACTGATGGGTGCTGACAGGCATCACTGATTGGCATTGACAGGCATCACTGATGGGCACTGGAAGGCAGCACTCATATATGGCACTGATGGGCATTGACAGGCATCACTGATGGGCACTGAAAGACAGCACTCATAATATGGCACAGATGGGCACTGATGGGTGGCACTTATGGGTATTGACAGGAATCAATGATGGGCACTGATAGGTGGCACTGATTGGAACTGTTAGACGTCACTGACGGGCACTGATATTTGGCACTGAAAAGCAGCTCTGATGGACACTGATATGTGGCATTGATGGGCACTGGTATGTGGCATTGATGGGCACTGACGGGTGGCAATTATGGGCACTGAAAGGCAGCACTGATGGGGCTACACTGATAATCAAGGCACTGATGATCAGTGTCCTGATTATCAGTGTAGATGTCCCCTCTGAGCTGCTTACCAGCTCTCCTTTGCTATTTTTTTTCTTAGGAGCCTAGGAAAGCATTACACCTGCGATCAGATCACGAGTGCAATATCTAGCTCCTGCAGACTGTCAATGTAGCTGTCTGCCTGTACCTCCGATATTGGAAGGCAGTTACTGAATGACAGGAAGCTCAGTGGACTACGTGAGCGCTCACCAGCGCTTGTAGTTGTCAACTACAAGATGTAGGTACAACTACAAGATGTCAGCCACAAAGCCTGATGGACTTGTAGGCATTCATTCACAGAACTCCGTTCATATTAGAGCCTATTTTGCTCTTGGTAACAGTGATATCAGGGCCTTTAGCTGTCATGGGGGCTAATACAGAGGCACTGCGGTCTCAGCAATGTCAGGACTTTTAACTAGCGTGGAGGCTGATACAGAGGCTCTGAGATGGAAGCCCATACCAGAGACACTGAGGTTGCTGTGATATCGGGGCTTTCAACTGGCATGGAGGCTGATAGAGAGGGAACACATGCCTTATGGATGGAAAAGTTTGCTGATCTTATATCCCTGTTTCTTTTGTTTTTCAGTAGTACTTTAAATATAGTCAAACTTTTAGGATTTCATACCTTTGCAGTTAATGTTTTCTATGTGACCATCCAGGATGACTTCTGTCTTTCATTTGTTTTCAGAGCACTCAGGAGAAATTGGCGAGCAGAGAGAAGAGCATGCAGGACAGATTGCGGCTAGGGCACTTCACTACTGTCCGGCACGGGGCCTCCTTTACAGAACAGTGGACAGATGGATTTGCTTTTCAGAATCTTGTCAAGTTAGTCTCTTGTTTTTGAGTTTGTAGAATTGTCATTCAGGAGCCAAGTGATGTCATTGTGTTATGCTGGCAGATTAGCCAAGGAAAGTTTATGGGGCCTGTCTAGAGCTCTGAGCACAGACCTAATCAACGTGGCATAAATAATACAAAAGTTACGAGAGCTTCAGCAATCCTGCATTTTTTACATTCATGGAAAACTCATCATGTCTTTGAGACAGTCATGTTTTATAAGAAAAATAGTTCAAGCAATTATTCTTTTTACCACATTTGTTTTAATACTTTCTTCTTTAAATTGTCGTCTGTTTTTCAGTTGTGTTTCCTTGATTATGCCTGCATGTCTCAGGGAGCCCTTGGGTCTATGGAATCTGTTACTGTCCGATTCTCATGTTACAGTGCGGAGATTGCTCTGTGAGCTTTGAGACTTCTCCTGCTGCAGTGGGAAGAGAGATTCTTATTGGCAAGGGTGGTAGAGCTAGGCATTCTGCCTGTGACATCTTGATGCAACCCACCAGTATACAGCCATAACCAGATTAAGCAAGTTTGGGAGGGCTTGACCCCTGATCTTAAAGTAGAATTATGACCTCACATTAAAAAACTATGTGCTGCAGCCTTTAAATATGAGTTAATCTTCACCTAGTTTTCTCTTACCACGTATAGCAGCTTCCAGTGATGGTGTGGCAACAATCCTGCACTGCTCCTAAATTCAGAGCAGAGTTGCACCTCTCATGTCGGCTGCATATTGGGATGAAAAAATTTAGCAGGAAGTGTGGCTATCAGCATTGTCACTGCTGATCCACAAGCCTGTAGCACCTGGAGACACCTAGTCCTGCCCACTGCTTTAAAGAATAGGTTAGTCACCGGTTTTTCTTAATCCGCTAAAGGAACATTACTTACAGTTACACCCCCCTACAGCTCTAATCATCTTCTGCCACAGGTTTAGTAATGTCACATACACTTGTTAAGTGTCAATTATGCATGCCCTTTCCCTCCACCTCCTAGATTCATAGAAGCCATAGCTACAGCTTCCATGAATGCAACATTATCTAAGAATGAAGGATGGGCAGATGAAGATTTGTAGATTGTGTTTCATTTATGGGGCTATAGTACAGTTTCTGTGGATAGTTCCTCTATTACCTGGCCCATCCTAATACCTACTATGGCCTGATGGTGTGGAGGGATTGTATCCTGACCCTGCATGCAAGAGCAGGGATGGCCTGTAATGTTGCAGGTCTTTGCTGGATGCTGCAACCTGCGATCTCCAGAGTAAAGTGACTTCACTGGCAGGGTGCTCTACAGGTCTAGGATAGTGATCCCTCTGGAGGGAAGTCAGGTCACTGAAGGCCCTGCAGGGCGCACCAGCCCTGATGGGTGAAGTTTGGGCCCTCTGACCCTGCAGCTATGGACTGGTGAGTGCCTCTGCCTCTGATATTGTTGGAGCATGTGGCATTGTTTCCTGTGTGAGGTAGATTTAAACTATTTTCTCTACGCAGAGCAACATATGGCAGTGGCAGATCTCATTTATATCAGTTATGGGCACAAAGAAATATGTATTCAGAGCTCCTGAGATTCTGATACTGGGCGCACCATGCCACAAACTGCTTAGAAATATAGAAAAGTGATGTCAGAAGAAGACTAAGTGGTCCACCAAGTCTGCCTATTTTTTTGGACTGGCAGGGTGGGTGTTTGGGATTTTAGTTTTTTTTTTTTTTTTTTTGTATAGATCTATGCTTGTCCCCAGCATGTTTGAAGGTATTTACTGTTGACTGGTTCACTACCTCTGCTGGAAGTTTATAAACATCAACTACCCTCAATAAAATAGTACTTTCTGCAATTAGTTAACTTTTCGTCCAGTTAGTTTAAGGTCATGTCCCCGTGTTCTTGATTTTGGTTTCATGTTGAAAATACTGCCCTCATGAACCTTATTCACCCCCTTGATGTATTTAAAGGTTTCAATCATGTCTCCCCTTTCCTTTCTTTCCTCCAGACTGTACATGTTAAGTTCCTGAAGTTGCTCTTGATATGTTTTATCCCTCAGACCTTTCACCATTTTTGTTACCCGTCTCTGGACCTGTTCTATGTTATCAATATCTTTTTGTAAGTGAGGTCTCCAGAACTGGACACAGTATTCTAAACGAGGTCCAACTAAAGATCTTTATAGGGGAATCAGGACCTCCTTCCTCCTGCAAGTGACCCCTCTAGTGATGCATCCTAGAATTCTTTTTGCTTTCCCCAATGCCTGGCCACACTGTGTTTGCTCACTTTGCAATCATCTGAAATAAGTACCCTCAAGTCCTTTTCCTCTGAAGTGCTTGCCAACAATGTACCCCCAATGTTGTACTTCCACCATCACAGGTAGCTGCAGTAGGTGGTAAGAGAAAACTAGGTGCAGATGAACTTATAATTAAGGGCCGCAGCACATATTTTTTTATTGAGTTCATAATTCTACTTTAAAGTCAAGGATCGTTGAGCTGCCTTCAGCCCTGCACAACCATAGCTGCCCCTGCTTGGGCGCCATGCACAGCAAGTACACTTGTCTGTTAGATGTGACTTGCCTCATTGGTATTGTGGCATAGGCGAATACTTTTCTGAGCTGGGTGTTTATTCCCTTCTGGGTTCCACAGGCTTTGTAACGCTCTGCAAGCCTTGTCTTGCACAAGCAGACAGGTCAGGGGGTGGGGGGGGGACGATGGGGTGGGCTCCCAAATCCTTTAGTCGCTAGGCAGGACCCCCTTCACAGTTCTCCCTAAGGCTCAGGTTATTTTTTAAATCCCTGCTCTTGTCTAGTATTTCAGTCACTTCAGGGGCACAATCCTCCACTTCCTATGTCTTGAGGGAGTCATTTTCTGTAGCCATATCTGGGCTTGCATAATCGGCTCTCAGGGGTTCTCACTAGCTTGGAATGCCTGGGACACAAACATGGGTATTCTTTCCCCTCCTTTCTTATTGATGGAGGATGAGGCATCAAAGGAAAATCCTCATGAATAGGAAGCTGCTGAGGATCAGGATTCCTCTGTAGATGAGTCATCCCAGGAAGAATCTTGGGGTCCAGAATAGACACAGAAGACCAAAGTGGGCTTCCTGGCGGTTGTAGTGCATAGTAACTGTAGTTACCTCTGCTGCAATCCTCTTTCCTTAAGGTTCACCTTTGGAACATGTTTAGGGTGGAACATGTAGCGTGTTCCCATTGCCGCAGTCGCACCCGACGCCCCACCCTCTCTCTGACAGTATGGGGAGAAGCCTCCCCGTAGTATCTGTCAAATTTGAAAACAGCAGGGCTTTGTGCACACGACCACGTCATTCATTCACGGACTTCCTTGAATGAATGAACTGCAGGTCCCGGCAGCCTTAGTGGCTGTCGGCTTGTAGTTTTCAGTGAACTACCATGGCACTGTGGAGCGCCGTGGTAGTTCATTGAAGCTTCCTCTCAGAATATCTGTTTGCTCGTACATCCCGTACAGCAAGCAGATACTCTGACAGGTCTGCAGGAGACCTGCATGTCATCAGCGATCTACTGATTGCTAGTGCAGTGCTTTCCAGGTTCCTTTGGACAAAAATAATAAAAGCACATTTTTTTTTACCTGCAAAAAAATTTGCATTTATTATTTTTGTTCCAAAGGTGGACTTATCCTTTAAAGTCACTGGTTTTTGGTCTTTGCGGCCACCAAAAGTCCCAAATCTTTCCAGTGCACCCTCACTTGCAGAAAGTGATGAATTCTGAATTGGCTTACCTGAAGAAGAAGGTTTTCACAGTCAAAGCATTTTGCTCTGGCAGCAGGACGGGAACAACCGGTCCCATCCCTGGAACAAAATCGATTGGAGATGAGCACTGTTCAGCCATTGACAGGGAGCTTTGTTTGCTACGAATGAATACAAAACATCCTCCTAATGGCTCAGGTGGATATTATGATGTCTTCCTCCTACGTCTGCCTCAGCCAATCAGACTAAAACCAGTTAAAAACATAAAGGGGGCCGTTTTACCCGCCAAAGGAGTTAATGATATGAGTGGCGTGAAGTTGTCAGTTAGTGATACCAGTGGCGGGAAGTTGTCAGTTAGTGATATCCGTGGCGGTAAGGTGTCAGTTAGTGATATCAGTGGCGGGAAGGTGTCAGTTAGTGGTATCAGTGGTGAGAAGGTGTCAGTAACTTAGTGGTAAGAGTGGCGGGAAGGTGTCAGTTAGTGGTACGAGTGGTGTGAAGGTGTCAGTTAATGGTACGAGAGGTGAGAAGGTGTTAGTGGTATGAGTGGTGAGAAGGTGTCAGTTAGTAGTATGATCGGTGTGAAGGTGTCTGTTAATGGTATGAGTGGCGGGAAGGTGTCAGTTAGTGATATGATGATCGTGTGTGAATATGTCAGTTAATGGTACGAGTGGTAAGAAGGTGTCAGTTAGTGGTATGAGTAGTGAGAAGAATATGTCAGTTAGTGGTATGAGTGGTGAGAATATGTCAGTTAATGGTACGAGTGGTAAGAAGGTGTCAGTTAGTGGTATGAGTAGTGAGAAGGTGTCAGTTAGTGGTATGAGTAGTGAGAAGGTGTCAGTTAGTGGTATGAGTGTGAGAAGGTGTCAGTTAATGGTATGAGCGGTGAGAAGGTGTCAGTTAATGGTATGAGCGGTGAGAAGGTGTCAGTTAGTGGTATGAGTAGTGAGAATGTGTCAGTGGTATGAGTGGTGAGAAGGTGTCAGTTAATGGTATGAGCGGTGAGAAGGTGTCAGTTAGTGGTATGAGTGGTGAGAAGGTGTCAGTTAGTAGTATGAGTCAGTCACCTGGCAGTCTCTGGTCAGTATCTGTCAGCGCTCTCTCCCCCCCCATAGTATACTTGGTATACACAGTAGTAGGATGGAGATCACTCGCCAGGCTTGGCAGAGGGGCGGATACCAAGGGGGGGAACCATATATTGCTGGGATGTATCCTCCTCACAACTGCATTTCCCTTCCCACTTCATCTCTGTGACAGCAAAGGTGGCTGAGCCTAGGCCCCGCACAGCCTGCCGGGACTGGAGTTCTTTCTTGTGGAGGCAGCGGGTTGGAGGCGTAGGAAGGACTACAACTCCCGGCATGCAGTGTGCCCAGCCAGGCTGTAGGCAGCTCTGAGGGTCTGTTCTCCTGGTGCTCTCCACAGTGTATGGTGATGGGGAGCCAGGGCTGAGTGATGATCCCAGAGGATGGCACTGTCCAGGCGAGGCCTGATACTCTCGGTCCTCACTGTATTCCTCTGCTGTACTAAATTACATATTACTGATGTCCCTTCTTCTGGGGGGCAGCGCTGCCCCCTTGAAAAGTGCCGCCCAAGGCAAATGTCTTGTTGCCTTTGCGGCAAATACGCCCCTGTCCCTGCACCCATCAACATGTTCCTTGTCCTGCAGCAGAACTGATTGATTTCTTGTGCTGCTTCTCTTCCTCCCAGTCTGATTGCTGCTGTACAAATTAAAATGTAGATACTTACACTGCTTGCATTATAAAATATATATATTTTGAGGATGTGTTGGGGAATAAAGAGTAGGTGGTGTTTCTTTAAAATCTCTGTGGAGTTCAGATGTATGTGTCTGAATTAAAGTGAATGTGTTGCTTTACCCTGCTTGGGCAAAGTGCAGGTTCACTTTAGGCTAGCCAAGGAGATATTGCAGGGCATACACGCAAACAATATGCCATTCTGCAGAATTGGCACAAATGGCCATTGAATTCAAGCTTAAAGCTAGCATGAGCAGCTAAATGTGACTTGATACCAGTTTACGTAGCCCTCTGGACAGCAGCTGCATGGAGACTCTTGCACTCTGAGCCAGTTCAGGTTCTGTAGTTTTGCACAGTTTTGTCAATCTAACACTGAACACACTTGTTGGTGAGAGCTCAGACATGACCTTAATGTTCTGCTGCTCCCTTGTTGCCCAATCAGAAGGCTGGTGGAGGACAGGTAAGGAAGCAGAGCTGCTCCTTGTGAAAATGCTAGTTGCCTGGCTTTTATGCAGTTTCTGTGGTTTAATTATTTTTTGAGGCGCTGACCTGAAGTCAGGTACACAGTTCAGGAGTTCTGACATCTGACTGTGAAAACTCCATGCCATATTGGGTCAGTTATTCAGAACTTATTGTTGGCCAGACCCGTGACAGCCTTGCAACTAATTTTCTTAGGAAGTCAACAATGACAACGCCCATATTTTTCCAATCATAGGTTTCCTGTAGGACAAGCTTGTATTGGAGACGTTTGGCTGCCCTTCCTCTCCTCTCCTGCCTGCATGGGCATAAGCCTTTTGATCATAACTTGCATGTTTAGATGAACTGATGCACTAAGAAAATATATGAACACCTACACCTAAAAAAAAAAAAAAAGAAATTTTCCACTTGTCAGTTGGTGCCCACACGTTTGATAGTGAAGTTTGTTAGATGGCAGAAATGCACACATTGATTGACACTCCTACAGCAGAATGAACAAACAATGCTTGAGTTTGTTGCTTGGAAACTGTATCTTCTGCATATTTATATTAAAGTACCCTCAGCATATCACTTATTCAAGTATATGTCTGCGACTGTTTTGCAGGCAGCAGGAATGGGTGAATCAGCAGAGAGAAGATATTGAACGACAAAGAAAACTATTGGCGAAGCGAAAACCTCCGTCTACCAACAACGCTCAGACCCCGTCCACCATCTCTGAACCAAAGCAGAGGAAAAATAAAGCTGTAAATGGGGCAGAGAATGACCCTTTTGTAAAACCTACTTTACCCCAATTGTAAGTTTTTGTCCCTTGTTATCTTTTACATTAAACAAGGTTTTTTAACGTTTTTGTGATATATAAGACCTCTGGTGGGTTGTCCACTGTGTCCTGATTGTCAGAATCATAGATAACCAGTATACCGTATTTTTCGCTCCATAAGACGCACCTGACCATAAGACGCACCTAGGTTTTAGAGGTGAAAAACAAGAAAAAAAAAATATTCTGAACCAATGGACTGCAGACACAGTACAGGGGATGACCAGAGACTGCGGACACAGTACAGGAGATGACCAGAGACTGCAGACACAGTACAGGGGATGACCAGAGACTGCGGACACAGTACAGGGGATGACCAAGAGACTGCGGACATAGTACAGGGGATGACCAGAGACTGCGGACATAGTACAGGGGATGACCAGAGACTGCGGACATAGTACAGGAGATGACCAGAGACTGCGGACACAGTAAAGGGGATGACCAGAGACTGCGGGACACAGTAAAGGGGATGACCAGAGACTGCGGACACAGTGCAGGAGATGACCAGAGACTGCGGACGTAGTGCAGGGGATGACCAAGAGACTGCGGACACAGTACAGGAGATGACCAGAGACTGCGGACATAGTACAGGGGATGACCAGAGACTGCGGACACAGTACAGGGGATGACCAAGAGACTGCGGACATAGTACAGGGGATGACCAGGGACTGCGGACATAGTACAGGGATGACCAGAGACTGCGGACATAGTACAGGAGATACAGGGGACACAGTAAAGGGGATGACCAGAGACTGCGGACACAGTAAAGGGGATGACAGAGACTGCGGACACAGTGCAGGACCCAGAGACTGCGGACGTACAGGGGATGAGAGACTGCGGACACAGTACAGGAGATGACCAGAGAGACTGCAGATGACCAGAGACTGCGGACACAGTACAGGGGATGACCAAGAGACTGCGACATAGTACAGGGATGACCAGAGACTGCGGACATAGTACAGGGGATGACCAGAGACTGCGGACATAGTACAGGAGATGACCAGAGACTGCGGACACAGTAAAGGGGGATGACCAGAGACTGCGGACACAGTAAAGGGGATGACCAGAGACTGCTGCGGACACAGTGCAGGAGATGACCAGAGACTGCGGACGTAGTGCAGGGGATGACCAGAGAGACTGCGGACACAGTACAGGAGATGACCAGAGACTGCGGACATAGTACAGGGGATGACCAGAGACTGCGGACACAGTACAGGAGATGACCAGAGACTGCGGACACAGTGCAGGGAATGACCAGGACTGCAGACAGTGCAGGGAATGACCAGAGACTGCAGGGAATGACCAGAGACTGCAGACAGTGCAGGGAATGACCAGAGACTGACCAGGGAATGACCAGAGACTGCAGACAGTGCAGGGAATGACCAGAGACTGCAGACAGTGCAGGGAATGACCAGAGACTGCAGACAGTGCAGGGAATGACCAGAGACTGCAGACAGTGCAGGGAATGACCAGAGACTGCAGACAGTGCAGGGAATGACCAGAGACTGCAGACAGTGCAGGGAATGACCAGAGACTGCAGACAGTGCAGGGAATGACCAGAGACTGCAGACAGTGCAGGGAATGACCAGAGACTGCAGACAGTGCAGGGAATGACCAGAGACTGCAGACAGTGCAGGGAATGACCAGAGACTGCAGACAGTGCAGGGAATGACCAGAGACTGCAGACAGTGCAGGGAATGACCAGAGACTGCAGACAGTGCAGGGAATGACCAGAGACTGCAGACAGTGCAGGGAATGACCAGAGACACAGTGCAGGGAATGACCAGAGACTGCAGACAGTGCAGGGAATGACCAGAGACTGCAGACAGTGCAGGGAATGACCAGAGACTGCAGACAGTGCAGGGAATGACCAGAGACTGCAGACAGTGCAGGGAATGACCAGAGACTGCAGACAGTGCAGGGAATGACCAGAGACTGCAGACAGTGCAGGGAATGACCAGAGACTGCAGACAGTGCAGGGAATGACCAGAGACTGCAGACAGTGCAGGGAATGACCAGAGACTGCAGACAGTGCAGGGAATGACCAGAGACTGCAGACAGTGCAGGGAATGACCAGAGACTGCAGACAGTGCAGGGAATGACCAGAGACTGCAGACAGTGCAGGGAATGACCAGAGACGCAGACAGTGCAGGGAATGACCAGAGACTGCAGACAGTGCAGGGAATGACCAGAGACTGCAGACAGTGCAGGGAATGACCAGAGACTGAGACAGTGCAGGGAATGACCAGAGACTGCAGACAGTGCAGGGAATGACCAGAGACTGCAGACAGTGCAGGGAATGACCCGCTGCAGACAGTGCAGGGAATGACCAGAGACTGCAGACAGTGCAGGGAATGACCAAAGCTGCAGACAGTGCAGGAATGACCATGAGACTGCAGACAGTGCAGGGAATGACCAGAGACTGCTGAGACAGTGCAGGGAATGACCAGAGACTGCAGACAGTGCAAATGACCAGAGACTGCAGACAGTGCAGGGAATGACCAGAGACTGCAGACAGTGCAGGGAATGACCAGAGACTGCAGACAGTGCAGGGAATGACCAGAGACTGCAGACAGTGCAGGGAATGACCAGAGACTGCACAGCCCAGAGACTGCAGACAGTGCAGGGAATGACCAGAGACTGCAGACAGTGCAGGGAATGACCAAGACTGCAGACAGTGCAGGGAATGACCAGAGACTGCAGACCGTGCAGGGAATGACCAGAGACTGCTGACCTTTGGGGAGGGAGGGGGAGCGGGTACCTGAATTTGACAGGCGGAGTTGCCTTCCCTCTTCTTCCCGGGCCTGCTTCTGTGACAGCCGGGTGCCCACTGCGCGCATGTGCGAGAAGCGCTGCGCTTTGTGAATGGCCCGGCGCCTTCTGACACCGGATCATTCACAAAAGCGCAGCACATGCGCAGTGGGCACACCCGGCTGTCACAGAAGCCTGCGCGGGAATCACTGTGCAGCGCTGGAGCGAGGAACAGGTAAGGCCCTGCAGGAGACAACAGCTGAGCGGCCGGCCCGGTATTCTGACATGGTGGCGGCAGAAATACCGGACCGGCCGCTTTATATTCGCTCCATAAGACGCACTGACATTTTCCCCCCTTTTTTGGGGGGAAAAAAGTGCGTCTTATGGAGCAAAAAATACGGTAACTTCAAAAGATGTCAAAAGCTTGGTTTTACTTTAAATATGGATAGCTAGGAACAGAGCAGCTAGAAAGGTTATTCTATGTATTTAAAAACGCACAAACTAGCTACAACTACTGAGACTTTAGCTGCTGTTATTTTTAAAATCAACACATGGAATTAAGATACAGTTAATAACAATGTTTTCTGACACATCAGGTTGATTTCTACACTTTGATGTCAGGTTCAATAATGCAGGGAAACCTATTTCAACTTTGGTTCCCATACCACCAAGGGTATAAATGCACCTGGTTAAGAATCCCTGCAGAAAGGGGCTTGTGTTTTCTTTTTTGTGTAAAATATCCATTTACAATGTACTAAAGATTTGAATATTTAACTTGCCACAAACGCAGCTACTTGTGGGAAGTTATATTGTGGTGTCCAAGATTTCCATAATTACACCTTCAGGATGAAGATGAAGTAACATGCATTTAATCTGCATAAGTTAAGGAATCTTGAAATTACAGAATGCCCTGAAGAGAAGGTTAAACAAACTTGACATTAAAATGCTTCATTTAAAGGTCACCTCATATCTAAATTTCTATTCTAAATTGGAAGGTTGTTTGAAAGTTGGTCTACATACTGGCTTTTCTGTTTCTGCACAATTGCTGTGGCCATTGTAGAGTTAAATTATGGTAGCGTACAAATATCTGAGAAATGTAGATTCAGGATTGTGACACTCTATCCTTGGAAGTTTTCTGTCTATTCAGCATGGTTTTCTTACAGAGATATATACCCACTGCTTGAATTGCTGTAAATGTTGTTTGGAATGTGAACCACACAGTATGGACAGACTGGAATAAGGCCTTGTACATACAAGATACAGTATGCAAAAGTTCATTGTGTACAGCAAGAAATTAAAAAGCATTCGCAGAGCTTTCAACTGCTTTGTTGAAGCCTTTTTAGGAAACTTCAGCTCCAGTTTAGAGGTTAAACACCGATCTTTTAAGAAGAGCGTTGGCTGTCACTTTAAACAAGCTGCCAGCAGTCTTCAGCAGGCTTTTAAACAAGCTTTATGTAGTGCTGAAGCTTACCAAAGCCTGCTAGTGGCTTGTTTAAAGTGATAGCTGGAACTCCAATTAGGAGATGTGTTTAACTTCCCCAAACTGAAGCTGAATGAATCTTAAAGGCTGCTGGAAGATGGCTGAAAACTTTGCAAATGCTTTGTAGAAGTCTGCCGTGCACATTTGTGCAAGCCTAAAGGGGCACTGTCATGAGAGGTTAATGGAGGCTGCCTTTGCTAAATTCTTCTTTGAGAATGCTAGTTCCCTGGCTGTAATTCTGATCCTTTATCCTAAATGTTGTCTGAGTTACTGATGTGATATAACTATCCAGATAAGTAGTTCTGGCACGCATTTACAGCATGCTTGTTCTGTGACTGACTTAATCATGCTGAAGGTGCAGAGCCAGGCATCTGGCATTTCCAGGAGGCTTGCAATGGCATCCCCTACACATTTAAAATATCAGAGTCACTTCAAGCCTGTGTATCAGAGCTGCACGAGTCAGCCAAATAAAGAGGTTCTGCATAAACTAATCTGTGTTTGATTTGGCAAAAAAAGTAGTTCCTCATAAACAACCACATGAATGTGTCTGGAGTTTCCTATATAGAATTAGACTGGGTGCAATGTGAGTGAAGGCTGCTTGTGTTCAGTAAATCCTTTTGTGTTATTATATGTAAGGTACTTGGGTATGGTTTTAAAGTGGTTGTCAAGGCTAAATGTTTTTTTTTACCTTCATGCATTCTATGTATGAAGGTAAAAAACCTCTGTGCAGCATCCCCCGAGCCCCCCTAATACTCACCTAAGCCCTTCTCAATCCAGCGATGTGCACTGGAGTCTTGGCTATCCTGGGATTCCTTCTCGTCATTGGCTGAAACAGCAGCGGGAGCCATTGGCTCCCACTGCTGTCGAACACAGCCCGTGAGCCAATGAGATGAGAGGGGGGAGAGGGAGGTGAATAGACACACAGAGCAGTGGCTGGAGAGTGCTCATGCTCAGGTGCCCCCATAGCAAGCTGCTTGCTGTGGGGGGTACCTGACAGGGGAGGGGCCAGGAGCGCCAGCGGAGAACCCAAGAAGAGGCAGATCCAGGCTGACTGTGCTAAACCACTACACAGAGCAGGTAAGTATAGATAGACATATTTGCGATTTTATTTTATTTTTTTTATTTAAGCTTTAGAATCATTCTACCTTTTTAAATAATGTGAAACCCCCTTTAAAGCACTCCCTTGAGCTGGCAAGGAAGTCATTTTATACTTTTCCTAGATCTTTATTTTTCAAATATCCTTTAAAAATATTATATCATCTTTAAAGTATGTGTGGAATGGACATATTTCCTGTGTTTCATTATAATACAGTCTGCTGTATTTTCTTACTGTGATCTTATTGCTTGCTTAGGTTAACGTTAGCCGAATACCACGAACAGGAAGAGATTTTTAAACTCAGACTTGGGCATTTGAAAAAGGTATGTATGTCAGTAGGAATTTTCCTTGTTCTCTAGCTGCAGATTTTTTTTCTTCCATTAAAAAAAAAAAAAAAAATCCTTCTCCTGGTAGTAGAGTTGATTCTGTTCTTCTAGGGAATTTGCTGCATTCATTGCGTAAACAAACACCAAAAATGGTATTCAGGTTGTGTTTCAGACGCTCTCCACTGCAGCATGGGGAACAATAGCTGCTGATTTAGCTTCCTGCTGCTGTCTGTAGCACATTGTCATCTGTGCTTCATTCGTATACATTTCAGTCAATGGCAGAATTGATTTGGGTACCTGAGGAAGCTGTGTTCCTTTTAGACAACAATAGAGCTGGTTAACAGATCTTTTGGGGAAATAAATGTTTCTTGCCAAGCTCAGTTTTCCGTTCTAAAATGTGCACACTGGAAATCGTGACAGTTTTCAGGGCTTGAACTGTACAATGGATTCCCTGAACTCAACTAGATTAAAGTGAGCCTGATTTAACCCTGTGGATACCAGATTGATATCACTTCTGTTAGGTCACATGCTCCTGAGTGTTGGCACCGTATCGAAATGATCACTTTTACTAAGAGTTTGTTACAGAATTTAATACAGTAGCAAAGAACAAATATGTAAAGTTGTGATCCATAAAAAAATTACTTTAAAGCCCAACCACAAGAATTAAATGTTCGTTAACTCTAGAGGATGAAGATTAAGATGTAATACTTTCCTTGCTGTTTGCTCTGGTTCTCTTTCTGTTCTGGCTTGTGGGCAGTCCCTTGCCTTCCTCACGTACAATACAGGACTGTTGGCTGTGCACTGTACTTGGTGATGTCATTATGCAGCCACGGCCCAGAGCGTCTCATAGACAGGTCTCCAGGGACCAGCCACACAGATGTTGGAGGACTTCTGGACCATGGAGTAAGCTAATTATTATTTATTATTCCTAGTTTCCTAGAGTTAATGAGCATTTTAACTCTTGCTGTGCAGGAGGAACCCACTGCAAGGGTAATTTTGTTTATTTAGGTTTTTTTAATTCCCGACGGGCTTTAGGGAAATGCAAACATGAAACTCAGTCTATGCACCTTGACAATACAATCTATATATATCTCCTTTACAGAGTTTAAATTAAACCTGTACTCGGTGCATACCCAGGGTAGTAAAATGTATAGCATTATATATCGGTTGTTGGTGCTTGCCCTTACCTTCACTGTCTCCCTTTCTCTCTGATTTTCTGTTTAGCAAAAATGCTTTTTGTACTGGCTCATACACAACCAAAAGCCTTAGTTTGATATTTGTCCTCTGTGATAAGATATAGTTATGTGTATCATAATATACTTACTGTCCGTGCAGGAGGAAGCAGAGATCCAGGCGGAACTGGAACGTTTGGAAAGGGTTCGAAATCTGCACATACGAGAACTGAAACGAATTAACAATGAGGACAACTCACAGTAAGGGCACATTTTAAAGTTTTGTATAGTTGTCTTTCCTCATGACTACACATTTGTCATGTAGAATGAACATCAAAAAACTTTTGGATTAGACTGCAGCTGGGCACTAGAACTTGCCACAATGACAGAACTCGCAAAAATATAAAACAAATGCTTTAAATGAGCTTACAGACATTAAACAGTTGTTTCCATCTGTGGATGATTTTGGCTGGATTGTTTGAAAATGCATATATTTAATGTGCATTGGCAACCATGCCCTAGTTGATCTTGGGGGAGGCGTGGGACTAGTCAGTCGCCTAGGGTAAATTTTTTATTTCGTGTAGTCACCTTTGTTTTCCAAGAGCATTAGGCTTGTGCCAGCTTCTGCCTGGTGAATGTGCTCTTGGTATTTCCAAGTACTGTTCTCAAGGCCCACTGATAATTTATGTTTTTGTAGATAATCACATAGGTAACACTGTCATAATTTAGGCCTAGACTACTCCAACTGTGCTCATGTTACCTGTTGGTGGGACTTGACAGGTTTGGGAAATGTTGACTTGTGGGGTTATTTGACAATTGATAATTTGGAAGTCATGTGTGTGTGCTAACCAACAATCATAAACCTTTTGGAGGTTGGGAATTATGCTAAAGTATATCTAAAGGCAAAATGTGCGTTAGGGACACAGGATGTGTAGTCTGGTACATGGGGGGATGTTTCTGCCTTCAAGAGATTGGACCGTCTCAGTTTTTTCGCTCGTGTCCCAGGAAAACAGGTCTTCTCTTTGCTTTGAGAGGTGCAATAATGCTACTTTTTTTTTTTTTTTCTTCTAGCAAGTTTATTGGCTAACCCCCTTGGCTTTGTCCTGGAACTCTTTTGTGGAGGATGTTGGACCAGCCTGTAGTATGTCTCCTAGGCACTGGTCTCTGCTCTCATTTAAGCACCCTTGCTACAGCATGCTGAATTACATACTGCAGTTGCATAGTCAAGTTGAATAAAACACAAGTCCTTCTTATTCAGCCAAAATAAAAAAACAAAACAGAAAACCTCCATATAAACAGTCCTATACCCACAGTTGATCCACCCAGAGAATTGGCGTCTGAGGGCTTTACAGGTCCAGGGCCATGGCCATGGTTTACTCATCCGGTGTAACATCGCCCTGAAGACTCCCTTGGAAGTATGCCCACAGGGCAGGCAAAGACCAAATGTCTTCTAGATCCTGCTGTCTAACTGGTGGGGACAGCAATCTGTCAGAAGACCTCTGCTGCAGTAAGTCTTCTGCCTTTTTTTGGGGGGAGCCTGGATGTGCTGGTGGAAGTGGTTAATTCTCAGAAACATCTGGAAAGTATGCTGCAACACAATTTAAAATTTCCCTTCATTGTACCAGTTTTGGCCCATGAGCCCCTCCTGAGCCAGCACAGCCTCCTTCTGCTTGTTTGTACTGCGCATTGTGCAAGTTATTTTGGACTACAGGCACTGACTGGCTCAAACTCTTCTGCCATTTGCTTAGCTGATTCAGCAAACTGATCTTTCAGGATATGATTGGGCTCCCTGCTGCCTTCAGTGTCAAAGTCAGACATATTTAACCCTTCCTGTTCTGCAGTGTGATCCCTTTGTGCAAATCCCTCAGAGCTCAGTCTCTGGACCTGCCCTGCAAAACCAGTCTTGCCCTGGTATTGAGGGTTATGAGTCCTGAACTGGAGACAAGAAAATCCTTCCTTTTCTTTGGTCTGGATGAGATAATGGATGATGCCAGCCTGTCAGGCTTGGTGGGGGGATCCTGGATATCTTCTTGGTAAAGGGGACTTGTTTGCTGGAAAAAGCTCATCTCCCAATCCATGTTCAAGAGCTTAGAGCATTTTAGTTGTCTCTACAATGCTGGACCTCTCAGCAGCAAAGTCTTCTGACTTAGATTCAGTCAGACCATGCCACATCAGTAGCATACACCAACCATCAAGAAGAAATCAGAAGTCTTTCAGATTAAATTGAAGCCAACCGTCTTCTGGCTTGGGCAGAGTGTCATGTTCTAGCTTCAATGACCATCTGGCATCTGTACTTCATTCATTAGCATATGGACTCCAGAGAATCCAAAACTTGCCATAGATGGTGTATTTTTTTTTTCCTTCAGCCAACAGGCTAAACAAAAAAGTCCTCCATCCACACAAGCAAATAGGACTCTCCGCTGTCAAAATACACTGATAAATAACTGCAATTGCCGATAGACAAAGTTTTTCCAGCTTGTCTGTTCGACAGAAGTAGCTAATTTTCTGTTAAATGGGGACAGACACACATGGATTGAAATAATTGGCTGGTCCTTGCTAGGCTGGCTAAATTTTAATCAGTCTATGGCCAGCTTAAGTTTATCTCTAGGTCCCAGGTCCTCTAGCCTCTGCCGTGGATGCTCTGGTGACTCTTTGGGTTCAATTCATCCCGATCTATGCCTTATTTCCTCCAAAAAGCCTTTCTCGTTTGCTCTGCTGGACTGAGGTGGCGGATGTACCAATGATTCTCATCCTTGCCATCAGTTCTGGAATTAGCAGCTTTAACCTGTGAAGGACCCTTTCATGTGCTACACAAGGATAGGGTTGTTCTAAGGTCCAAATCCTATTTCTTTCCCAAGATGGTTTCTCTCTCTCAGCATTGTTCTATCTTCTCTGTGTTGTGCTCCAAAACATCCTATGGAGATTTGCCCCATTGTCATGATATGGTATGCACTGTTAGTCTTTCTTATAGCTACAGCTTACTTACAACAGTCTGACTCTTATTCCTAAAGGTTTCTGTAAAGGACATCCTGATTCCCATTCCACAATCTCCAGGTGGATGCGGAATCCTATCTTTCAAGCCTATGATCCTGAAAAGGTTCCTCCTTTCCCTGTCGGAGTACATTCCAGCATTTAATTCTCAGATTTGCAAGACTGCCACCTGGTCTTCTTATCACGTATTTGGTTAGTTTTACCAGCTGAATATTGAGGCCTCAACTGATGCCTGCTTCAGTTTTAAGGATCTCCAAGCGACTCTGCACTGTTTTAACCTGTTGGTTTTTGTTGGCCTTTTGTCCTTAAATTTGCTGTGTTGCCCACCCCTCATTTGGACTACTTTAGGACATTCCTATGTACCTGATTACTCATCCTGTGTCCCACAATGTACAATAAGGAAACAATGTTTTTTTTTTTACTTTTTATTGGAAAGGACTTGTTTCCCGTAAGGTATTACTTCTGTTTCCTTATGATCTACACCTACTATTGCTTGTTACAAAACTGTGGCATACTGGGAGTGGGACGGGTTATACTCTCTGTCCAGAACCCCTGTCATGTGTTTTTTATTGCCTGTGTCTCTGTTAGGGTGTTATTACTCTTTCTAATTGTCTTGATCATCAGTGACTCCAGGAATTAAAGTGAAGGTAAATCTAAATTTAAAACCCTTTACATTCCTAATAAGGTGTGAAGGAGTGTTTTCTGTCGTGTTTTTCATGTTTTATCACTGGCTATGATTCCATTGGGGAGACTTCCCTACAGGAGATTGTAAACTTGTCCCCATTGCACTACACGGAAATGTCTTTGCTCCTGTCCCTGTTGGAGAAGTTTGTAATCACCACCTGTCCACAGGAAAGGAAGTGGGAAGAATTCTGCCAATGAAGGCAAAGACAGCCACAGAAAATAGAGGTTTATCCATTTGCTAGTGCATTCAAAACTGAAATAATTTGAGCTTCAACCCCTTCTCACCCAGCTCTGGCATCCCATTAACAGGGTCTTTATGCCTGGGGTTGAGAATAGGACTGGCCAATCCCAAGACTGGTTGTTACAGTGGTCACATGATCGGGAGATGGTCCTGCTGGCTCACAATCATTAGCAGAGACCAAGAGATTTCTTTGACAGCTCAGTCAATGTTCTGGAAGAGTGCAGTGAGAGAACTCTCAGCACAGAAAGCTATGCTGCCCATGGACACATTTGTAGGCATTAAAGCTAAGCCTCTTTTCCACTGCACATGTGTATTACGTGGTCAGCAAGACTTTGCATTCAAAATGATTGATGTGTAAAAATGTGACCAAGAACAAATGGAAATAGGGTGAGTCATTGTCCATGGCAGGATTAGTACTACTTGTTTTATGTTCCTGAAGGCTGAACAGTGACACAGGAATAATGACTGTAACTATTCTACTCTTCACAAAATATGTTTGGCAGAATAGGATGCAGCAAGCCTTGACTGTTTACAGCAGATAGCTGGGAAGCCATCTTGCTCTGGGCTTTTTTGTAAGACGGCCTATAATTTGTAAATAAGGATGCCTTAAACACAGACAATGCATGTTTATATTTAATTTGTACTTCTCTTTATTTTCAGATTTAAAGATCACCCTACATTGAACGAAAGATATTTATTACTTCATTTACTTGGTCGAGGTGGTTTTAGTGAAGTGTACAAGGTAACAGTAATTTATCTTCTATATTGATACAAATATCCACTAAGTTTACCTATATATTAAACCTAATGCTCACTAAGTTCCCTTATACCTTGAAACTAATGTAGGGTGTAAGCTTTAATGCTACATATTTTCATGTCAATGGTCTTAACACAGGGAACAAAACCCTCCTTTCTGCATGCATTGCTTCTTTATTGAAGTTTCTGTGGCTTGCACAGTTGAAGACTGTCAGGGAGTCTCAACCAATAATTTTGTCAGCTGATGTAAGGGGTCAACAGATCCCCTTTAGCATCCAGCAAAATGTGAGAAAGTAGGCAGGGTCAGAATAAACACTTACCAATTAAGAGCATTTAATGTAGATGTAAATTCTTGTTAAAGCTGAATGCCAGGCAGATATAAAAAGCACTAAATATTCTAATTTGTTTTTTAAATATAAGGCCTCGTTCACACCATGCTGCAGAGATGTGAGTTTTTCTACATGTGTTCTACAAGGGCACAAAGAAAATAGTTGTTCTTTATGTGCCCTGATCATACCACAAACACTAGTATCATGTGCAATTTGTTTCTGTGCAGGAATCTGCAGCGTGTAGAAAACACACATGAAAACTGATGTAAGCTTTTGTCTCTGCAAGTGAAATCTGTGCATTTCTCCCATCAGTTTTTATGCACGTATGTTGTGACCAAGGCCTTAGCCGTGTGAGTACCTGAATTTGACTTCATGTAAGCCTTTTTGCAGTCTTCTAGCAGGGCAGCTCAGAGAAGGGGAGGGAAAAAGAGCCAATGAGGTATGTTGCAATGCAAGGAGCGTGCTGATAGTAGGAAAGCAGAGAGATGAGCTGATCAGTGTGCTGCTTCCCCTGTTACTGTCAAATTACAAGCTGGGGAGGGGAGGACTGAAAATAAAAGTAATATTGCAGCAGAGAAAGATCAGGCCCCCAGAATTGGATAGACAGAAATAAAAATCCTGTGACAGGTAAAACAGACTCATATACAGTGGATATAAAAAGTCTACACACCCCTGTTAAAATGTCCGCTTTCTGTGATGTAAAAAAATGAGACAAAGATAAATTCAGAACTTTTTCCACCTTTAATGTGACCTGTAAACTGTACAACTCAATTGAAAAACAAACTGAAATCTTTTAGGGGGGGAGAAGTAAACATACAAAACTAAAATATTGCGGTTGCATAAGTGTACACACCCTCTTATATCTGGGGATGTAGCTGTGTTCAGAAATAAGCAATGACATTCAAAATCATGTTAAATAGGAGTCAGTACACACCTGCCATCATTTTAAAGTGCCTCTGATTAACCCCAAATAAAGTTCAGTTGTTCTAGTAGGTCTTTCCTGACATTTTCTTAGTCGCATCCTACAGCAAAAGACATGGTCCACAGCTTCCAAAGCATCAGAGGGATCTCATTGTTAAAAGGTATCAGTCAGGAGAAGAGTACAAAAGAATTTCCAAGGCGTTAGATATACCATGGAACACAGTGAAGACAGTCATCATCAAGTGGAGAAAAAAAATGGCGCAACAGTGACATTACCAAGAACCGAACGTCCCTTCAAAATTGATGAAAAGACGAGGACAAAACTGGTCTGGGAGGCTGCCAAGAGGCCTACAGCAACATTTAAGGAGCGTACATGTAACAACAATCTCCCGTATTCTTCATATGTCTGGACTATAGGGCAAGACGGAAGCCTTTTCTTATGAAGAAAAACATCCAAGCCTGGCTAAATTTTGCAAAAACACATCTGGAGTCTCCCAAAAGCATGTGGGAAAATGTGTCATAACACGTGTCTGATGAAACCAATGTTGAAATTTTTGGCCATAATTCCAAAAGATAAGCTTGGCGCAAAAACAACACTGCACATCACCAAAAGAACACCATACCCACAGTGAAGCATGGTGGTGGCAGCATCATGCTTTGGGACTGGTTTTCTTCAGCTGGAACTGGGGCCTTAGTCAAGGTAGAGGAATTATGAATAGTTCCAAATACCAGTCAATATTGGCACAAAATCTTCAGGCTTGTGCTAGAAAGCTGAACAAGAAGAGGAACTTCATCTTTCAGCATGACAATGACCCAAAGCATACATCCAAATCAACAAAGGAATGGCTTCACAAGAAGAAGATTAAAGTTTTGGAATGGCCCAGCCGGAGCCCAGACCTGAATCCGATTGGAAATCTGTGGGGTGATCTGAAGAGGGCTGTGCACAGGAGATACCCTCACAATCTGACAGATTTGGAGTGTTTTTGAAAGGGAGAGTGGGCAAATATTGCCAAGTCAAGATGTACCATGCTGAAAGAATCATACCCAAAAAGACTGAGTGCTGGAAGAAAATCAAAAGGTGCTTCGACAAAATATTAGTTTAAGGGTGTGCACACTTATGCAACCATATTATTTAGTTTTTTATTTTTACTTCCCAACACCATTTCCATTTGATCCCTTGTGTCAGTGAGCATCCTGCTGCAGTGCAGAGTTTGTGGTTCAACAGAGTTGTACAGTTTATAGGTTACATTAAAGGTGGAAAAAGTTCTGAAATTATTTATTTGTCTCATTGTTTTACATCACAGAAACCTGATATTTTAACAGGGGTGTGTAGACGTTTTATATCCATTGTATGTATCTCATCTATTTGTTTAGTTGTTGCCCGGAGGTCAACTTTAAAAAAAAATTCAAATGTAATATGTTATCCTAAATACAAGTGCAAATGCCATATCTGCTTTCCTCCAGCATTCCTCATCCGTGTGCCTTCAGCAATGCTTACCATTGCAATGTAGCAGTGTCAGTGTTTGTCAGCCCATGAAAAAAGCTACTTTTCGCCTACCTATAGAGTTTTCATTTTTGACCACACATATACAATACTTTAGCAGAAGAAAGGTAAATTAAAAGTAATTAAAAAAAAAAAAAGTGTGCGTTTTATACCCTAATTGTACAGTCAATGGGTTGAGGGCAGGTTAGTGAAGACACTGTTAAAGGGGAATTCTTGCTTAATTATAACTATTCTTAAAAATTCCCCCTCCCTCCTCCTGCTACCTATCATTTCTACCCTATTTAAAAAAGAATTGTGTACTCTACCTTTTTTTTTTTCATCAGTCATGTGATATCACAGCTTCACCTTCCTTGTTTCCTTGAGTGGCTGGCTACAGGGGAAAGAAGGGAGCACAGACAACAGCTGGGCTATGGGAGCCTATGGGTGATGTTACCGCTCTCAGAATTCCCAGCCATTGTCGAGCGCTCACTCACTCCTCTACACTGCAGCAGGATGCTCCCTGACACAAGGGATCAAATGACTGGACTGGAGTGAGCTGAAAAAAGGGAAGTATACAGATCTCTTTTTACATCGGGTAGACAGGATAGATAGCAGGAGGGCAGGAGGCTTTGAGAGTAATTATGGCCAGGAGTTTCACTTTAACTGAATGAAGAAAAGGGGAAAGGGTAGGGGTCTGTATGGAAAGATTGATTGAATTGCAGATCCTGTTTTAGGTAAGACATTTGACATATAGGTATGTATTTAGCGGTTTTCCACCTTTACATACAGGTCTATGCCCCGTGTATTGTCACTATAGACAGTGCTTCAGAAATGGTAAGTTCAAGTTAATAAAACCTGGTTTATAAGCCAGTAGTGTTGAAGAACAGCCAGATAGGACACATATTGACCACTTTCAGTCTATGCTCCTTCCACTGAGTTGATATGTATGCTTTACCAAAATAACTTTGCATTCTAACTGTGCCATTACATGTTTATTTCAGGCTTTTGATCTTTATGAACAAAGATATGCTGCTGTGAAAATTCACCAACTTAACAAAAGCTGGAGAGACGAGAAGAAGGAAAATTACCACAAGTAAATAGTTTTTTGTGCTCTTTGATAATAGAACCTGTCTCTCCATCCTACAACCTTATTAACCAGCCCATTTGTTTGTAGGCATGCCTGCAGAGAGTACAGAATACACAAAGAGCTTGATCACCCACGAATAGTGAAACTTTATGATTACTTTTCCTTGGATACAGACACGTAAGTAGGATTTGGTTTGTCCGCATCTTTTAAGCAGCCTTGTGATGATAAAACCCACTAAGAGCCAACACATGGAAAACAGGCACCAAAAGATGCCACTGCATTCTTACATTTGTTTAGCACAACCCCCACAAAGCACTCCTGAGGCTGACCAATGCCGTGTTCCAGGGACACACTAGAAGGCAGGCTTTTGAAACCAAGAAGTATACACTGGCATCTTATTTTTGGACATATTTTATTTTGCTATAGTCAGGACTATAAAATATATACTATATATACAAAGTATGTATATGTATGCATGTTTGTGTTTCGGTTAGAAATTATTATGCAATCATTTGATATTTACCTTTCTCGTCCTATAAAGCGGTAGTAAAACTGCACCTAAAAAAAAAAAAAAAAGCCCCCACTAGGTAACATCATAATGTGCTAGTATGCATTTCCTTCAGATCGCAGGCGCCGGATTTAAAAAAAGAGCGAGTATCTCCTAAATGGTGCACGGATATTCATTTTACCTACAGGTAAGCTTTATCATAGGCTTACCTGTAGATAAAAGTATACTAAAAGAGTTTACTACCACTTTAACGAACACAAAGTCTTAAACATTCAATTTATACTGCTGTCTACAGTAGAGTTGGACTTTGGCACTCTAAGAAACCTCCAAAACTGCAGGCCAGCGTGGGATATAACCCCTCTTACCAGCAAGCCTAAGTTTTTGCTAGTGTCCGAGGTGGTTGGATATCTTTTCTTTAGCTCTGCTGATTTAATGACTAACCTTTTGATTTTTCTAGAAGCTTTTCTTCTCTAAACCACTGTTGGAAGTTTCCCCTTCACCTTGCAGCTATCCAGCGCAGTTGTCCTCAGCCCGACTTTTGGATCTTAATGCATCCAGATCCTGTTGGACTGGATTTGTGGGGCCGCCCTGGAAGTGACCTTTGGACGCTGCGTTTCCCGACTTTGGTTAGGTTAGATGTGGAGTGGTTTCTAGCTGCAGAGCTGCTGGCATCCCCCCTGCATTTGCCCTGTCTCTGCAGACTCATAGTCCTCCTCCTTCTTCTTTTTTTTTTTTTTTCCTTCCTAGAACTAACAATATGTGAAGAGCTTCAGTCGCCCCGAAATAACTCATAAACACAAAGCCAACAATTTAATAATGTACAAAAAAAAAAAATCTTTATTTCCATGATTGTATCTTGAAACCCTAACCCACAATTTAAATATAAACCATGCCCCCTTGTAGGAAATGATTAGTAGAACAGCAAACTCCGCAATATCAAAAAATCACAAGGAATTATAATTAACTATAAGGTTTCAATCAAAATACTCTAATCCAGAAGCACACTCAATATACCATGTTAAACTGGCGATATACTGATTGATGTTCGGCTGGTTCAGCAGAGACTGGCTGAACTTTGATCAGTGTGTGGCCATCCCTGTTTGACAGAAGTCGACCAAGCAATTGAAAGAGACGTGTTGGAAAAATATTCTCAATGAGTGGCTGCAGCGTCTGATCAGAGTATTCTGACAGCAGCAGGTGCTGCTGTCAGAATACAATATCCCAGTGTGGAATTCCTCCCATCAACCTTGTTTGTGTGGATGGAGTCTGTTACTCTTGTCACTGACCCTTATGTGTTACTAGTTGTCTGAGTTTTGTGAGTTCTTGAGCTATTGCCTTTTACCTGCAACCTATATGTTGCGGAACTGTGTTGTGGTTACAGCATGTTTGCTTTGACGTGGGGTGACAGGACAGTCCCCCTACATTTCTTCACTTCTATAGCCTGTATTCACTGTCATTCATTGTTAGTCTGTCCCTTCCCCAGAGTATTCCATGGCCCTGTCTGGAGTGTCTGGTTCATCTGCCTTCTCAACTGATGTTTTAGCTGCAGTCATGACTGCAAATCATGACAGCTTTATGACCCAAATATTTTATATATATATATAAAAAATAGCGGGCTAATTGAAGAGACCACAAGCCTGTTTCTCTTGTTAATGATGTGATGTTCACCACCACAACAACACTAGAGGGTTATTGGCCACATAGACTTCAGTGGGAGCACCTGTTAATGCACGACACCTGCTTTTTTGCGTCTGAAGCATTCCTCTCCTACTCTAGAATTTTTCTCATTCCATTGTGCTTGACCCTTGATACATGTGCAAAAATAACTGAACAAAGCTTGTTAAACAATTTTATCAGTGCTCAAAAAAGGTTTCAAAAGTGTCAGAACACTCTGTGCTCAGGTGTGAATGAAGGCTTAACCATTGAAATCCCTATTTTTTGTAACTTGGTATTTTATCCTACAAAATGTTACTTCCTCCCCATCTCAAATGGCTCATTTTCCTACAGTTCTTAAAAGACACTGGAACTCTGTTATCACCAGTCTAAGGGCTTATTCTCACGGCCATATGTGTATTTTCTGCATGTAACGCAGGTTCTTACTGGTTAAGTTAGCTTAAGATCCTGAATAAATACTCTACCTTCATTCCAGTGAATGACTACATATGTATGCGCTTCTTTACACACAGAAAATCTGCACATCTTTGTGGCCCTGGATGCAGCTGTGTCCTATTTAATTAGATTTTTTTTTTTTTTTGTGGGTGGCTAAATGCAGTGCACATTTTTGCATGGAGACAGAGCAGCGTGCATGGGCTCGTTGATTACTATAGTGCTGCATTTAGATGTGCACATTGAAATGCAGTGTTTTTTCTGCCCATGTGTGAATGAGCCCTAATGGTAACATTATTTAGAGGACTGATAACCTGTGTGGTATCTTTTGTGATTTGGCTTTTGCATTTATTTTTTTCATACTGTTGGATTTACAGACATTAGTCTAGCAGTGATAAAAACATTACCTACTGAGCTGCCTTTGTGAGCAATATTGTGCAACTTTGTGAATCAGTATAATTATTGATTACTGTAGTGACCCATCCCTGAACATAAGACTGAGATTTCAGTCAGATTTAGCCCCAAACCATTATAGTTACCTTTTAAGTCCTGTTTATATACTGTAAAGTGTGGTGACCATCTTTTTTCTGAGTCTCTTTGCTGCGGTTTAGTGTGCGACAGCTGTCTCTTGCTGTGTGAATGGGCTTTAATGTTTTCCGAGCCACATGTTTTATTTCCTGTTGTCATTTGTGATGTGCATCTTTTAAAGTCGACCTGTTGTGAAAGTAACAGTCACTTTGAAAAACTCTTGTGTTAAATAAAAGCAGGTCTGGTAAATTGGTCTGTGGGTATGTGTTCTCTTCATGAAGACCTGTAAAAAAAACAAAAAAACAAAAAAACCCCCTAAAAAAAGCAGAAAATTTACAGGGAAAATACACATTTTATAATTATTTTTAAGTTTTATAGCCTGTTCATCTATTTATATGCTGTATTAACCATTGGTGTCCTTGTGTTTGCAGATTCTGTACGGTGCTGGAATACTGTGAAGGAAATGATCTTGACTTCTATCTGAAACAGCACAAACTGATGTCTGAAAAAGAAGCCAGGTCTATTGTAATGCAAATAGTCAATGCACTACGCTATCTCAATGAGATCAAGCCTCCCATTATTCATTATGATCTAAAGCCAGGTAGGCGGAATATGGTGGGTGCATGTAGACCTGTTTTGCAAATATATTAAGTCTTCTGCCTGTTGTCGGTTTGGTCTGTAAACTTGCAAAATGAGCTCTGTTACCTGATTTGTGTCTGTACAGAGAGGGAGAACGAGGTCCACAGGGAAATGTGGCTGATACTGCCAATCTCCTACCCCTTACCCCCCCCAAATCCCATGTCCCCCTCATAGCTATTTGTCAGTGTTAGTCTTCCTGTCACCAACATGAACCCATTGCCTGATCAGACTTTCAGCTTGTTTTGGATGACTGGCATTTCGTGTCTTTGGGTTGCTGTACTTTTACTTTAGACATTAAGACAACACTCACTAGACTTTTGGTTTATTTCGCAGTCATATAGTCTTTTATGCAAGTAATCCTTGCATGCGTATTTGTAATATAAGATTAAAAAAACAAAAGCAATTATCTTTCAATAAAAACCAATGGAAAATTCCAGTTGGCATAGTCAATATTTAGATATTAAGATTGGGATTGCCTTGTATTCTAAACAATCATTTGCATTCATAATATTTTTAAGAAACATTCTTCTGTAGAGATTCAAATTCAAGTCATTTGAAAAGTAATTTAAACTAATATTTCCACTAGTTGATTTTGCATATAGTTGCCATTGTTCAGTTCATTGACTTTTCTTAAAATTATCCCAGCTCTGTGAAGCTAAATCCAATGTGCTTTGTAATTTTAACTTTTATAGCAATTTTTTTTCCCTCCAGAATTGTTAGTAATTAAATATCAGCCAATAAACTCGTAAAAAAGGTTCTCTTAACGCTTGTGAAAATTCTCTCCCAGGTAATATTCTTCTTGTTGATGGTACAGCGTGTGGTGAGATTAAAATCACAGACTTTGGTTTGTCTAAAATCATGGATGATGACAGCTATGGTGTGGATGGAATGGATTTGACTTCACAAGGAGCTGGAACATACTGGTGAGTTTGCTATTCTTTAGAACCATATGCTTGCTGTCTAAAGTGCATGGAATATTCTCGTGTAACATGCTTAATGCTGTTTTTTTATGTTTGTATTTCTATTGTTCTTCTGGAATCTTACAGGTACCTTCCCCCAGAATGCTTTGTAGTGGGCAAAGAGCCACCAAAGATTTCCAATAAAGTAGATGTGTGGTCAGTAGGAGTCATCTTTTTCAATGTCTCTATGGCAGGAAGGTAAGGACTGTTGGTCAGGCATATGTTTGCTAATATGTACACATAGTTAGTCTGGCTGGAAAAAGACAAAAGTCCATCCAGTTCAACCATTAAAAAATAAAACGTTATAATCCTACATCCACCATTGATGCAGAGGAAGGCAAAAAAAAAACAGAAAATTTGCTCCTGCAGGAGAAAGAATTCCTTCCTGATCCCCCGAGAGACAATCGGATATTCCCTGGATCAACTTTACCTATAAATGTTAGTGTCAGCTGAGCTCCTCCATGCCTCTTATCAGTTTGGTTGCCCTTCTCTGTACTTTCTCCAGTTCCCCAATGTTCTTTTTGTGAATTTTTGCCCAAAGCTGCATATTCCAGATGAGGTAATACTATTGATTTGTACCGGGTAATATGATATCTCTCTCTCTGAAGTCTATACCTCTTTTAATACAAGAGAGGATTTTACTCGCTTTAGAAACCACAGCTTGGCATTGCATGCCATTATTAAGCTTGTGATCTACCAGAACTCCCAGATCCTTCTCCACCGCATATATATGATGCGGCATATTCTTAGCCCCCAAGTGCAGAACCTTCCGTTTATCAACATTAAACCTCATTTGCCACATAGTTGCCCAATTAAACAGTGCATTGAGGTCAGCTTGTAAGTTGGAGACATCCTGTAAGAACGTTATTCCACTGCGCAGCTTGGTGTCATCTGCAGAGACTGAAATTGTATTTTTTATCCCAGACCCTATATCGTTTATAAATATATAAAAAAGTAAGGGTCCCAATACTAAACCTTGGGGTACACCACTGACAACATTAGACCATTCAGAGTATGAATCATTAACCACTACTCTCTGAATACAATCTTTTAGCCAGCTTTCTACGCATTTACATACGTATTTTTCCAAGCCTGTAGACTTTACCTTACACATTAGTCGTGTGTGGGGAACTGTGTCAAATGCTTCTGAAAAATCCAAGTACACCACATCCACCACCACCCCTCTGTCCAAGGTTTTGCTCACCTCCTCATAAAAAGAAATCAGATTTGTTTGACAACTTCTGTCTTTCATGAATCCATGCTGTCTGTTGCGTAAAATATATATTTTTTTCCAGCAAGAACTCATCTATGTGGTCTTTTATTAAACTCTCCACTACAGTGGGGCAAAAAAGTATTTATTCAGCCACCAATTGTGCAAGTTCTCCCACTTAAACAGATGAGAGAGGCCTGTAATTGGCATCATAGGTAGACCTCAACTATGAGAGACAAAATGAGAAAAAAAATCCAGACAATCACATTGGCTGATTTGGAAAGAATTTATTTGCAAATTATGGTGGAAAATAAGTATTTGGTCAATATCAAAAGTTCATCTCAATACTTTGTTATATATCCTTTGTTGGCAATGACAGAGGTCAAACGTTTCCTGTAAGTCTTCACAAGGTTGGCACACACTGTTGCTGGTATGTTGGCCCATTCCTCCATGCAGATCTCCTCGGCAAAGCCGCGGCCTTGACTAGAGCAGTGATGTTTTGGGGCTGTCGCTGGGCAACACGGACTTTCAACTCCCTCCAAAGGTTTTCTATGGGGTTGAGATCTGGAGACTGGCTAGGCCACTCCAGGACCTTGAAATGCTTCTTACGAAGCCACTCCTTCGTTGCCCGGGCGGTATGTTTGGGATCATTGTCATGTTGGAAGACCCAGCCACGTTTCATCTTCAATGCCCTTGCTGATGGAAGGAGGTTTGCACTCAAAATTTCACGATACATGGCCCCATTCATTTTGTCCTGTACATGGATCAGTCGTCCTGGTCCCTTTGCGGAGAAACAGCCCCAAAGCATGATGTTGCCACCCCCATGCTTCACAATAGGTATGATGTTCTTTGGATGCAACTCAGCATTCTCTCTCCTCCAAACACGACGAGTTGTGCTTCTACCAAACAGTTCTATTTTGGTTTCATCTGACCATATGACATTCTCCCAATCCTCTTCTGGATCATCCAAATGCTCTCTAGCAAACTTCAGATGAGCCCGGACATGTACTGGCTTAACCAGGGGGACACGTCTGGCACTGCAGGATCTGAGTCCCTGGCGGCGTAGTGTGTTACTGATGGTAGCCTTTGTTACGTTGGTCCCAGCTCTCTGCAGGTCATTCACTAGGTCCCCCTGTGTGGTCCTGGGTTTTTTGCTCACCATTCTTGTGATCATTTTGACCCCACGGGGTGAGATTTTGCGTGGAGTCCCAGATCAAGGGAGATTATCAGTGGTCTTGTATGTCTTCCATTTTCTAATTATTGCTCCCACAGTTGATTTGTTCACACCAAGCTGCTTGCCTATTGCAGATTCAGTCTTCCCAGCCTGGTGCAGGTCTACAATTTTGTTTCTGGTGTCCTTTGACAGCTCTTGGGTCTTCACCATAGTGGAGTTTGGAGTGTGACTGTTTGAGGTTGTGGACAGGTGTCTTTTTATACTGATAACAAGTTCAAACAGGTGCCATTGGTACAGGTCGTGAGTGCAGGACAGAGGAGCCTCTTAAAGAAGAAGGTACAGGTCTGTGAGAGCCAGAAAGCTTGCTTGTTTGTAGGTGACCAAATACTTATTTTCCACCATAATTTGCAAATAAATTCTTTCCAAATCAGCCAATGTGAATGCCTGAATTTGTTTTCTCATTTTGTCTCTCATAGTTGAGGTCTACCTATGATATCAATTACAGGCCTCTCTCATCTCTTTAAGTTGGAGAACTTGCACAATTGGTGGCTGGCTAAATACTTTTTTGCCCCACTGTATAGAAGTTAAACTAACAGGTCTATAATTACTTGGTAAAGATTTTGACCCCTTTTTAAATATTGGCACCACATTGGCCTTACGCCAATCCAGTGGTACTATGCCATTAAAGAGTCCCTAAAAATTAGAAAAAATGGCTTTGAAATGACAGAGCTCAATTCTTTAAAGGACCCGTGGGTGTATGCCATCCGGTCCAGGTGCTTTATTCACCTTTATTCTGTCTAAATATATTTTGGATCATATCAATGTAACCTGTGGGTGTATGCCATCCAGTTCAGGTGCTTTATTCAACTGTTATTCTATCTAAATATTTTTGGATCATATCAATTGTGAGCCAATGTGGATCATCTGGAGCTGTGTCAATACTATGCCCATTATGGACGAGCTCCTCCTTCACATCTGTGTATACAAAAGGAGCATGAAGGTATTTAATACATTTGCCTTCTCTTTGTCCCCAGTCACCTACTCTAGATTATTTTGTAAAGGGCCTACATGCTTGGACCGGACCTTTTTACTATTAATATATTTGAAGAATTTTTTGGGGTTGGTCCTGCTATCTTTTGCATTGAAAATGAATGACGGATTGCAAAAGATAAGTGAAGTAAAATGCTTAAGTCCATCCTTTTTGTTTTTCAGCCATTTGGCCACAATCAGTCACAACAAGACATATTACAAGAAAATACCATACTGAAAGCTACAGATGTTCAGTTTCCTGTGAAGCCTGTTGTAAGCAATGAAGCCAAGGTAAAACATAGAAAATTAAATCTTCTCGACAACTACTTATTGTAATTGTACAGAACTCAGAAATGTATTCTTAGACCAGGGTTATATGCCGCTAACTTTAGTTGATTGAACACTGGTAAAGTTTTGCCAGGAACGCACCCTCGAATATCCATATAACCCCACGCATTCTGTGCGGCTCCTGTTTCCTTGTCAGTGTCCATAGGTGATGAACCTCTTCTCCCGTGGGAGATGTTTTTTCAAAATGTTTCTTTTTTTTTTTTTTTTTTTTTTTTTAATCTAATATTTGACTCATTCTTTTATTAAGATTTGACTGCTCTATTGCCTTATGACTCACTAGCAGTTTCCAGACCAGGGTACCCTCGATGTACATCTTGGGAAATGTACCTGTGCTTCAGACTCTGGATCCTACGTTCAGTATTTGCCTTGGTACATGGTGTAACAAGTGAGTTAGCTGCATGGTGCTGTTCAGTTCTAGGGAAAGGGTCCATTCCTGTGGCACCCATACTCTGAAGACCCTATTGGGGTATGGCCACTGTGACAGGCGACATACCAGTTCCTGGCTATACATGCCTTGTTAGAGTGTATACACTACATTCTATCCTGCAAGACAATCCGTGGTGCTAAGCACACATGCAGTTTGAGGGTCTAGGTTATGGGGTAATATACTCTTCTAGTGTTTTTCTCTAGCTGTTATTGTCTCACTTTATTTGGCCTATAGGTAGCACTTTTTTATGTTTACCTATTCAAATTTGACTATCTTTTCTTCCACCTCACTACAGAAAGTTCTTCTCTGGTTAGTGACATAGTGCTCATAAGACTATTAAATGCGCACTGCCTGCAGCCATTTTCCGTTGAATGCGTAAGCCATACGCTTGATGTCACACTTGTTGCCTGATACCTCCAAGACACAGCCACAGAAACTCGGATAGTGCCAGGGTTATTGCAATTATGTCATACCGGACATGCTGATTACTCTCAGCCAGTGGTGGTTTACAGGCATGTAGGAGTAGGAGCTCATGGGGCACAGAGTGGCAGTTCTGATGCAGGCCCTGAGGAAACTTTAAAATCCCTTCAGGTTGATAGCAGTTCACTTGTTATGGGTAAGGTCATACATTGCCTCCACTCCATCCTTCTGATTTGAGCTCCCCAACATACATGCAGCCTGTCTGACTAAAGCAGAATTGTCTGCCACTATATCTGATTTATTCCAAAGGCTTTCACCACTGTTGGAAACTGTCAGTTCCACTGACCAAACACAAACTTCTGCCTCTCCTCCCCCTGACAATGTTCACAGGTACCAACCTGAACTTCCTGTCCACACTTACATGTGCAGAAGGCAAAGCGGACACTGATATTTTAGCAGTTACTGCTTAAGATTTTTCATCCCCAGAATTTAGTAAAGTCAATTCTTCATCTTCTTGACTTATGCTGACTACAATGGATTCTTTAAGACAGTGTGCATCTAGTTCCGTACAGCCTCCACATACCCGAATAACCACAAAAAAGAAGGCAAAATCTGTGAAGTCTTTTCCTATTTTTGATCAAGCTGTTTGGGCTTCATATAATGACTGGTCTAACTGCACAAGGCTATTTACCCTTGCTAGCAATTTTGGAACTCTATAACCTATGGCAGAGGAATTTCAAAAGAAATAGTGTTTGTGGACCAAGCTATTGTTGCACTAAATAATGAATCTACTGTTCCTATTGAAGGCATTTTACCTTTTAGGGCATTCGGTCCATAGCCATTGAAGGCTCTTTTAAAATCTTCTTTTGCCCTGGCCAGTCCAGCCTTGTAGCTGGCTATTGCCACCCAATCTATTGCAAACTGGTCTGGAGAAATCTGTGAACTGATTCCTGATGTAGACAATCTTTTTTGCAAGATTACAGCGGCTGCCATCAGCCCTATTTATTCTGCATAGATGCCATGGATCAGTAAAACTCCAGAATGTCTTGATATATTGCTGAGAGCTCCGACTGTCAACCCTGCTTGGGAAAGGTGCCTTTTGTGCAACACCTTTGAAGGTGGCTTCCTCTTTAGAAATTTACCTTGAGGAATGCATTCAGGCAGCTACAGAGGAAATGGGATTCTGATCTCACTATCGACAATTACACCTACCTGTTGACTTGAAAACTTCTGCCATACAGGTTGGTTTTGTTCTCCCTCTCCAGGTATCATCTTCTACTGCAGGTCCATATGTTTTGGTAAACGCTCGAAGTCCACTGGACCCAATGAGAAACCTTCTATATAGTGAAGGAAATAAGTATTTAATCCCCTGCTGATTTTGAATGTTTGCCCACTCACAAAGAAATGATCAGTCTAAAAATCAAATGATAGGTGTATTGTAACACTGAGAGACAGAATAGCAACAAAAAATTCAAAAGAAATGCATATCTAACAAATGATGCACTGATTTGCATGTTCATGAGGGAAATAAGTATTTGATCCCCTTCACAAAACATGACTTAGTACTTGGTGGCAGATCCCTTGTTGGCAGTCACAGAGGTCAGACGTTTCCTGTAGTTGGTCACCAGGTTTGCACACATCTCGGCAGGGATTTTGGCCCACTCCTCTTGGCAGATCCTCTCCAAGTCATTAAGGTTTAGTGGCTGATGTTTGGCAACTCGAACTTTCAGCTCCCTCCACACATTTTCAATCGGATTAAGGTCTGGAGACCGTAGTGTTACCAATTGTTTGTTTGGTGATTGTGGTCCCAGCTGTATGGAGATCATTGACAAGATCCTCACGTGTAGTTCTGGGATGATTTCTAACTATTCTCATGATCATTGACACTCCATGAGGTGAGATCTTGCATGGTGCACTGACCTAGGGAGACTGATAGTCGTTTTATGTTTCTTCCATTTGCGAATGATTGCAGCATCTGTTGTCACCTTCTTACCAAGCTGCTTGGCAATAGTTTGGTAGCCCAGTCCAGCCTTGTGTAGGTCTACAATCTTGTCCCTGGCATTTTTGGATAGCTCTTTGGTCTTAGCCATGGTGGAGAGTTTGAAATCTGATTGATTGCTGCTGTGCACAGGTGTCTTTTATACAGATAACAAAATGAGATTAGCAGCACTCCCTTTGAGAGACTGCTTCTAATCTCAGCTTGTTACCTGTATGAAAGACACCTGGTAGCTAGAAATCCTGCTGAATGAAAGGGGATCAAATACTTATTTCCCTCGTGAACATGCAAATCAGTGCATCATTTGTTAGACATGCATTTCTTTTGAATTTTTTGTTGCTATGCTGTCTCTCAGTGTTACAATACACCTACCATTCGATTTTTAGACTGATCATTTCTTTGTGAGTGGGCAAACATTAAAAATCAGCAGGGGATCAAATACTTATTTCCTTCACTGTATACTAAGGTTTGCTTTATGCCTGCAGGTTCTAGAACGTCTACTGACATGACTTTAGCTTAAAGTGAGATCAAGGTTTTTTTTTTTAATTTACTTTGTCTAAGAGAGCTACACAAAGGGCCTCCAGTGCTGTCATCTCTCTATGCCTTCTACACCCTTTTATATTAGTCAGCTCCATTCACTGCCTTAGTACTGGTAAGGGTCACATTGCCCTGGTGTGAGTTCCTTTTTTTTTTTGGCTTCTCAGGTAATCACTTTAAGCTTCTGTTTTTCTATCCACATGTGGTCTGTAGGTGTCCTAGCTCTTGCCTAACTCGCTTCCAAAACAGCCTCTGCTGTATAGCTGCTCTACATAATTCACTCCGAGATCTACCAGTATCTCTAATTTACTGATACTTGCCAGTAAAATACATTCCAGCTTTTTAGTTGGTGCTCCTTCTTTGGGGAACATTGATATTTCTCCCTACATAATTTACAGTGTAACATATGGAATAGTTATCACCTTTTCTAATGATAGGGCAACTCTTCCCTGAAATTTTCCATTTCTCATCATGCAGCTTCCTTGGCTTGAAATCACCAAACACCTAGCCCTGTGTACTATGCAGTTCTTGATTTGCCCTGATGAATCTTTTCTTAACACCCTGGCTTTCGCAATTCTTGTACTCCCTCTGTTGCAAAGTTGCTCCTCTGTCACCTGTTCCGACCTTCTGTATCCCTCTAGGACATTATTAGGTGCACTTGCCTAAGCAGAGATCTCCTTTTCATTATCTTGGGTGTAAACTCCATATAATATTTCATTGAAAATAGGGCTTTATTCTCCTTGTGGCCTCTAGCAACCACAGTGCAGCCTGGGCTCCCTTTTAATTCTCTTTTTCCTGTGCTACATTGGGACAAAATATCCTGAAAGCTAGCTCCTTTTGCTTCCCTGAGGCTCCTATCACCTTTGTGGGCATTTCATCCCCCTCCCCACATCCTGCCATGAAGACCTGTCTAAAAATTCAAGATCCGCCTTAAGGGGGGCATCAGAATGATCATCTATGCCACTTGCCATGTCTTCCTTGGGAACTGATTCCTCTTCAATTCCTTTACAGAGTGCTCCCAGCTGGGTGAACAATTTGTTTTGCTAGTGCTTGTGCCCTTTGGGAAAGAGGTCCCTCCTTCCCTACCTGGGCCCATTCTAGAAATGTCAGGATTTTTCAGCATCGAGCATATTTATCTTCAATAATAGCTTGTGGGGCCACCACCTGATCCTCTGTTCACATTTTCAAAATGTTTTTCTTGGGCTTCTGCTGATGCGGGCTTCAGCTACAAGGTGCTTCTGCTGTCAACTGTTCATATGGGTCTGTTAGACCCCTCTTGTTTCCCGTGGGCTTGTTTAATCAATTTTGCCTTTGTTACTCACACCTCCATTTATTGCCTGGGGATGTTTCATGGTCTAAGAATAAGTTCCTGTCTCCTGTGGTGTATGATCAAGGTAATAGGATTGATAAAAATATTGGTGCAGCACAACCCAAAAACCAGCACATACATCTCACCATTTAAAAAATGCATAAATGTATGTGACTAATAAATAAATCTGACTAATAAATAGTACCAAAAAGTCCAATCAGGATATTGGCACCAAGAACTCAGTGCTGCAAAAA